TTATTATATAATAACACACCAGTTAGAACTTGCTCATGAATTCCTCTTCCAACTATAGGATTTTTTTTTTCTCTATAAAAAGAAAACAGGTTATTATTCACCATCCCCCTGTTGTCCATTGTGAGGAAAGATGGTGCTGTTGACAGAGGTATTTCCTGTGCTTGGTTTCTTGTAAACTATTATTTGACTTTATTTTTTGCCTTGTTAGTAGCTTACATCACACTCCTATACCCTCAGCCTCAAGTCCTGTGGATAGGAAGCAGATGAATTAAGATAATACTCTCCAGGAAAATGGAATGTACAATCGACCCTTAAACAATGTGAGAGTTAAGGGCGCTAATCCCCTGAGCAGTCAAAATATAATATCAAAAATATATAATTTTTGACTCCTGAAAAACTTAACTGCTGATAGCCTACTGTTGGCCAGAAGCCTTACCGATAGTATAAACAGCTCATTAACACATATTTTGTATGTCCATGATACAAAATACTGTATTCTTACAATAAACGAAGCTACAGAAAAGAAAATGTTACTAAGAAAATCATAAGAGAAAATTTATTTCCTGTTCATTGAGTGGAAGTGGATCTTCATAAAAGTCTTCATCCTTGTCGTCTCACTTTGAGTAGGCTGAGGAGAAGGAGGAAGAGAAGGGGTTGGTCTTGCTGTCTCAGGGGTGGCAGAGGCGGAAGAAAATCCACATGTAAGTAGACCCGTGCAGTAGCAAAGCTGTATTGTCAAAAGGGACTCAAACATCTGTGCTAAAGATGTGGCTGTGGTTGCCTCCAGGTGACACTGCTTGCTGGGGTGCGACTCATTCTCAGGGAAAATACCATCTCTACAGAGGTGGTTTCCTCAGCATCTCACCTGAAGAGCCCTGTTTCCCTTGCCCCAAGAAAGGGAATTCCTACAGAGGAGGCGTAAATCAGGAATAATGAAAACACCCTGCCACGTAGAAAGACAGTACATGCCCTGGCCATGCCAGGTTCAATTTGCTCATCTCTATTGCTCACACTTCCTGAGATTTACTGTGTTCCTAACAGGCTAGAATATCTCTTCAAGATTCCATGACGGCAGGAGTTGTATGTCCTAGCAGGGAAGCCGTGTAGAAAATGGCGCCCAACATGCCCCCATCGCGACAATGTGAAGGATTAAACAGTTTCATGTTGGATGCATGTTCTTGTTATGGTGCAGCCTTCATTAGAAGTAATTAAAACCTGGCAAATATTCTTTTCAGATGGCTAATAGACCATCTCCACTTCTCCTTTTGGGAGGTCAGTTACCAGTTACCAAAAATGAAACACCTGCCTTTATATCAACATGCCGCTGCCTGAAATTTAGCCGGACGCAGCTTTCCTGAAGCTATTAAATACATCTGTTGTTCAAAAAAAAAAAATGGACCCTTATGTTTACCCAACTCCTGAGTAAATATGGCAGATGTTGGGACACAAATCTGATTAAAAACTTCTCCCTAGGCCAACATTATTAAAAACTATGTTAGGCCGGGCGCGGTGGCTCACGCCTGTAATCCTAGCTCTCTGGGAGGCCGAGGTGGGCGGATTGCTCAAGGTCAGGAGTTCGAAACCAGCCTGAGCAAGAGCGAGACCCCGTCTCTACTATAAATAGAAAGAAATTAATTGGCCAATATATACATATATATATATATATGTATATATATATATAATTAGCCGGGCATGGTGGCGCATGCCTGTAGTCCCAGCTACTTGGGAGGCTGAGGCAGGATTACTTGAGCCCAGGAGTTTGAGGTTGCTATGAGCTAGGCTGACGTCACGGCACTCACTATAGCCTGGGCAACAAGCAAGACTCTGTCTCAAAAAAAAAAAAACTATGTTAGTTTCACTAGCTGTATGTCATGAAGAATATGAAATTGAATGGTAATGAATGGTCATTTGGGTGATATGAAGCACGTCTCAAAGAGAGCTTCCCAATTTGATTTCCAATTAATGCAATTAATATTTTCCATGCTGAGATTCGGGAAGTACATACTCCCCATGATCTAAATGAACCAAGTTAGCTTTATGTATGAAATTCATCACTGAAGGATGGAGGATCAGATAACTGAACACACCGGGAGGGAGGAAGATGAGGTTGTAAGACATAAAACCCTGCTTAACACTTTATTATTATTTTTTCCAGGTGAAGTATTTATTAGAGAAGACATTGTATTACTGGACCATCTTGTTCCTTGGTTAGAGTTTTCTGTATTACCCCAAATGCCTCCAAAGAGGGGCTCAGTGAGCATAAAGACTCCCCCTAGCAACCCCCTTGTCACTTTAGAGATGGGGAATCCTAAGAGGTAGAGCAGGATTGAGCTGGAGCTCAGTCGGGACCCACAGGTAGAGGTGGTTCCGATTCTCATTCAGTTGACTCCACACCGCAACCATCATTGCTGTCAACTTTGAGAAGTTTGGAAGAGACATTCATCTTTAATTTATAAATGAGGACACAGAGGCGTCAAGGTTTCAAGTGACTTGTCCAAGTCAGACGCAGTCAACTGGACGGCAGGGAACAGTCTCCGGGGAGAGGGGGAAGCAGGGTCTGGCCAGGGTCCCTCCCTGTCGGGTCAGGAGCCTACGCCCTCTACTGCGGTCCTTCCTCACAGCTGTGGCAGAGCACTAAAAAGGTAATTACTCTTCCTGGACTCCCAGACACAAATGCGAAGTTCACAGGTCTCGACTCTTTCCCACAGAGGAACATGTGTTTTTGTGGAAAGACCACACAGAGCCGTCGGGATCTCTCTGTTGTTTCCAGTCAAATTATAGAACCATAGCCGCATTCGGCTGGAAGGAATTTAGGGATCGCCTTTGCTGGTGCATCAGAACCACCAGGACTGCTTTAAAAGCACAGATTCCTGGGCCTCACTCCCAGAGATTCTGATTCAGTAGTGCTGGGGTGGTGCTGAAGATTTGGCGTTTGTAGCAAGCTTCCAAGGCAGGCTGATTCACCGACCACACTTGAGAAGCGTTGGCCTTCACTACCCTGTCTTAAGATGGATTGGCAAGCTGCTTCTTAAGGGCCACATAGTAAATATTTCAGCCTCTGCAGACCATACGCAGGCGTCCTCAAACTAAGGCCCGCGGGCCGCATGCAGGTGTTTTTGCCCATTTGTTTTTTTACTTCAAAATAACTATGTGCAGTGTGCATAGGAATTTGTTCATAGTATTTTTTAAACTATAGTCTGACCCTCCAACAGTCTGAGGGACAGTGAACTGGCCCCCTGTTTAAAAAGTTTGAGAACCCCTGCCATACAGTCTGTATTGCAACTACTCAACTATATTGGAGCATGGAAGCAGCCACAGGCAATATGTTTGTGAATGGGCATGGCTGTCTTCCGACAAATCTATAAAAAAATAGCATGTGGCCTCTGGGCTGTAGTTTGCTCACCCCATGCTTATAGCTATTTTGGTCTCAAGTTCTTCCCCACTACTCCTTGCTTGCAGCTGCAAAACAGAGATATTCCTGGTAATATTTTTCTCCGTGACTATGATGAAATCATTGCATGTCAATAAACACTCAAAAAATATTGTGTATTAGGTTCAATCAGTCCCGTATTATCCGTGACACTTGCTGGTACATCTTTGACTTTGGCTCTATGTTCCCTCTAATTATTAGGCATCATATAAGAAAAATAAGCATGCTAAGAGATGACAGAAGGGATAATTTTAAAGGGTAATTTAGGAACTTTCTTGGTATCAGAAAATAAAAGCCGCCTCCTTCAAGGACAAAAAATGAGTGTTTGACAAGGTTAGCAAGATGAAACAGCAGAGTTTATGATGGTCTGAAACACTAAAGCCTTTGTAAAGTATTTTAAAGAAAACACATTCTATAAACAAAGACATAACCAACAAGTTATATTATTTTTTATTCATGTTAGAATTTCTATCAGTGTTTGAACATTAATATTTAGAGAGTTTGTACATTTTCACCTTACAAGATTTAAAATGAGAACCACACTAGGTCACAAATGGTAACTAATAAACATTTCACAATCGCATGAATGTTCACTCACTCTCACTCTCTTAACACTGTTAAACATTTTCTTTTTCTTGCTGTAATTTACAATGAAAAGTGTGCCCCACTCATGTCTCAGCAAAGTTCCAGACATTATGGATTCATCACATATAAATTCTTTAAAAATATACTTCTGTCAAAAGACTTGATGACTACTATGTACACTACAAAAATAAATTTTCATATAAATAAATTATATGGCATACTTTTATCTTTGTAATTGAAATGACACAAACTCATTCCCACCAAAACTGGCAGACAATGAAACCCAGTTTGAATATTTATTTCCTTTAAACTCCTTACACTAAAACCTACCATGAGTCCTTAATGTAAATGTTATATACTCTGAACTATTTAACATTAGTAAGCACTCTATACAAATAAAAATTCTGTTCAAAAGTAAAACATAGCTGTAATAGTGTTTCCAATAGAAATAAAATCCCTGCATTTTTTGTTATAAACTGGCATGACAAATACTGTAGGAAAACATTCTTATGATACAAAATTATAAATATCAGCAAAGATTTTTTTTTAAAAAAAATTAAAACATCCAGATGAACAAACAAGACAGACAAAATTATTTAAAAAATAAAAATAAAAAAAGAGAGAGAAATTCTAATTGCCGGCCAGCCCCGGAGTTCTCCCTTTGCCAATGTGACTACTGGAGAAAGTTCTACACTGTGCAGAAGCCAGGGGCCGCACAGGCTCTGGCGCACCATGAGCCGGGCTCAGGAAAGGAGCAGGGGCACACAAAGCGGTGGAGGGAAGCTGACGTCAGAATTTTACATCATCTCTCTTCTTAACGCAGGACATAAATTTTCTGAGCAGAGTTGGGTGTTAGGTAGGCAGGCAGTGTGGCTGACAGAGAGGCACCAAGACCGTGGCAAGGGTGTGGCCAGGGCCCCTGGCAATTCTCTGTCTCTTGCGCGCGCGCGCGCGCGCGCGCACACACACACACACACACACACACACACACACACACACACACACACACACACACACACCCCTGGGAGCCACAGGTGGCTTTCAATCATATCTTACAGTTTTGCAGTGAGTTCCAGGGTATGAGGTTACTATACTGCCAGTACTACTGGGACCCATCACCTTTCTATTAAGATATCCACGGAACATAAGAGGGAATGATGGGAGCTGCCACCTGTGTGCTTCTCACAGTAGCTTAGGCTTTAGCCCAATGGGGACTTGACCCTCTCCTTTGACTTTTTGCCTGCAGACAGGATGCTGGTGTTCATTTGGAAGGGGAGCCAGACACCAAGCACTTCCTTGACATTTGCTGGTCTCTGTCTAAAAGGTGAGGGAGCCCAAACCTAAGACCAAAAGAACAGAACCAATACAGAAGCAGACCTTTAAAAAATAGGCCTGGTTGATTCACCTCTGTACACATTCTTTAGTGAGGTGTACGTAATTAGCATCTTCCTGCTTTTCAACCAATGTCACCTTGCAAGAACCCTAATAATGGGGAGATGAGGGAGACGTGTGCACTTGGAACACATACACATTGAGAAGAATCCTGAGGCCATATCCTACACAACTTCTGATTCTGTATGCATCACACCATGATGGACGCTCACTGTTTGTTTTTAAAGATGCAAACAGATCCAGAAAGCCCTAATCAGCTGTTCAACTTAGGAGAGAAGAAGTTTAAATGGAAGGGACTCAAAACATCGCCTCTAGGATTACTGTGGGCCCAGAATTAACAGGTTTTCTACCCAGGCCATCTTCTCCGAAAGATTTGCAATACACTCTTACATTGGGGTGGAAGGGTGGGTTGTGTGTGTTGGTCACGAGAGAGGCACAATACTGCATACCTCTTAGAGTATATTCTCAAGGCCCAGCCAAGGCTCACTACTATGCATATTACCTAATCCTTTAATGCCAATGAAGATGAACAGATGTTAGTTCTACACCCTAAGGTTCTAATATCCATCACAATGATCGACACGAAGGAACTTATTTCCTCTGAAGCGCAAGTTGGGTTGTTTAGATGGCAACCAATGATCTTAAGAGATGCCATGGACATACCGCAAGTCTGCCTCTTCCTGGATGGAGTTGAAAGAATGAGGCAAATGTGTAGGGCCAGCCCTCCACCAGCACAAAGCAGTAAGGATATCCTGACTCTTCCAGCTTGACTAGGTCAGCATCCATTCAGGCTTACAGACAACGAAAAGAAATAAAACAGACGAGACAAAAAAAAAAAATCACAGTACAGTACATTGGGAAATCACACATGTCCACACACACAGCCAACAAGAGAACTGCACACAACTACACCTAGAGAAGCCACTGGGATTACCGTGCTTTCTTCATATCTGCTCATTAAACAACAAAAAATTATCACGCATAGCGTGTTTGAAAGTTAAGAGTAACATTTCATACTACCACAGGGTTGTGATATGCAAATTTAAAATATTTTAAACAGAAACCTTTACAAAATAATCCTATTACACAAGCAATATTTGCATAGAATTATACAGGTAAATTATACAATATTTAAGCAGCAGCAACATATGCTGAAATTTAAGACTAAGTTAAGCTTGGTTGTGGCACAGGGACCAATGTACAAATACTGGGAGGGGCCCGACTGTGGCCTCCCCACTCTGGGGCAAGAGTGGAGAAACCCAGCTCATACTACTTTATATCCTTCCTTCGTATATTACATATGTGTACACCTCTTAAATATTTATAGGAATATTTAACAAAATAATACAATTGGTTACAGTAACAAGGAACTGCTGTCCTGGCACAGCACATCTTTTCCATAACTCCCAGCAGTTCTCTTCAAGCAGTTCTGGAAAGAAGTTGGGGGGGGTTCCCAATCTTTGGCCTCTTTGCTTCAGATTTTAATCACCCTTTAAAAGAAAACAAAAAAGAAGTTAAACTGAGTAAACTGAGTAACTCAGACAGGTGTTATGTATGAGTCCATATTCACATACAAACAGGCAACAGTGACCTGTGGCATGAGAAATCAGGTCAGAATGGTGAGGTGTGGGCACCAGGGAGCCTCGGGGCTGGCTGCACGGATGGGCTCACTTTGTGACCACTCGTTCCGCGTGCATTTGTCATACATACCTGTGACACCACTTTAATAAAGATGGGCAAGTAGGTAAAAGGTGACACTGTTCATGTCTTGGTTAAGTTGCACTAACTCTCAACAGGTTAACAGTGGGGAAAAAGAGACTCAATTTGGAACTGGACTGGTTCCTGACACATTAGCACTGCCCTGGGGCAAAAGGTCAAGGAGTCTAGTTTGGGATGTGCCAAAGCCCAGAGGACCAGGTGGGGGGGCTGCAGCCCGGGAACCCCAGGAGCCGCTCCCCCGCCTCCCTCCAGGCCGGCCTGCACAGCGGCACGCACCTCAGTTGGAGCTGCTTCCCCGGGGCCTCTCCTCACATTCCACGTCCTGCAGCTCGATGACTTCCACCTTTGAGTCCCTCCTCTCAAACCGGACGTGAAAAGGCACGTGGGGGTCCTCGAACAGCCCATGGTCAGTCTCGGGGTAGCCCTCGTAGCCTGGGAAGAGTCCCCCTCGGGGATTCCGCGCAGGCCCAGGGGCAGGCGGAGGGTGAACAGCGACAGTCACGGAAGCAGAAGCCGTCACAGTGGTGATGGGCTGGCAGTAGCCGGGCACGGAGCTGCCTATGGCAGTGGACGCTGGGTTCCGAGGGTTGTGAGAACGGGCCCCACGGGGCCCCGAGCAGTCCCTGTTGCTAGGGCCAGAATGCCCTTCAGTAGGAATTTCAAAAGCATCTCTGCGTGGTCTGTAGGGGGGCGGCCGCAAGCCTTCTCTGGAAGGTTCCCTGCGGGGCTGCTGGCCTTGCCGTCCGGGAGTCAGGGACCCAGAGTCCAGGTGGGGCTGCTGTCGAGGGTTCGAGGGTGGGTGATGCCTGGATTCGGGGTGGACCACCTGCAGAGGGCAAGGGAGTTCAGAATAGGCACTGGGGGGGTGCAGGTGGGTGCTAACCCCAGGCCAGGCACGGCCCCCACTGCTCCTGCCTCTTCTTCTTTGGCTTTAACTAAGGGTTCCATCAACCCTGGGGAGCTGATAGGGGCCTTCAACCCACAAAAGAAAAATCTGTTCTTTTAATAACCTCCAGGATGTGGCAGAGGAGTGCTTTATTTGGATCCCGTTTGCAGGGTTTCTCCAACACCGCTGGCTGGACACATAAGGCTGCTGCCCATAAATGCAGGGCTGTGGTCGGACAGCATACAAGCTGCTCCCCTCCCACCATCCGTGCCCCCACCCTGCTCAGTCTAGTCAGGCCCTGAGTTTCTCTTTCAGGAAAACTGCTAAATGCCTGGCCCTGGCCGGCCGGAATGCAGGACGCTGGCAGGACTGTCTACACCGCCGCTGTCAAATACGTTGGCCATCAGAGACATGTAGCTATTTAAGCTTTAATGAACTAAACTTCAAAATCCAGTTCCTCAGTCTCACTAGCCACATTTCAAGTACGTGACAGCCACGTGTGGCCAGTGCCGACCGTACTGCGGAGCAGAGGGGCATTTTCATCCTCGCAGAAAGTTCTGCTGGGCAGCGCTGCTCTTTCGGATTGTTAGGAATCTGGTCTCTGGGTCTCTATACAAAGCACGGAGCAACACAGTGGCCACATCAATCAAAAGGACCGTGACCAACTTCAAAGTCGTTCAGCTTGTACCTATTTTTAGGCTCCCGCTGAACAAAACCAGATTCACACTGCAGCTCAGCGGGCGCCGTTCACGGGGGGTAAGAGGAGGACAATTTAGGTTATTTGGTTGGCCTCTCTCTCTTTCACAGAAGGGTTGCTCTGGCCTGGGACTGGAATACCCATTTCCTGGAGGGACGGCAGGGGGCCCTCAGTGGAGCCTCAGAACCTTCCTTGGGTTTCTGGTGCAGAGCTCCTGGCCTGGGGGCAGAGCCCATCCTGGGGAGCAAGACGGAAGAGACTGGTCAGGGCTCTCGGAGCCTCTGAGAAGGGGCTGTCAGGCTCCTAGTGGCCTTGGGACTCATGATGGTCAGGGACTCGGGTGGCTCCAGCTTCTCTGCCCCTTCCAGCCACCTGAAATATGAGCTTGGAGCCACAAAAGCATATGGGAAAGGCTCAGATAATAATAATTGAAATAATTTTGAACCAAGGGCAGTTAAAGGTAGCAGAAATGAGAAGGGAAAAAACCCACCTCTCCTGGCAATAAAGATACTGCTACATTTTTTTAAAAGTATCATTAGAAAATGATATGCAGCTTAAAAAAGGGGGCAAGAAATGCTCTATCTCTGGCCCTTAAGCTCAAATTGCACATAGCCCAAATAAGATAGATGCTAATGCTTTGTGCAGTGATGCTTCCAGCCCCCACCCTTCTTTGATCCATTATGAGATCAAAACATAGGAAGATGACATTTTTATAGTTTAAGAACCAAATATTGGCAATTTCATGTGATTCGACCCAGCATATACTTTATCTTTGCCCCCTACCTTCTGTGTGATTTGCTACTCTGAACAGGCCAGTCCCCCCAGACCCCCTGGACCACTGCTGTGGGTGGGAAGGCCCTTCCCGGGCTCCCTAGGGTGACTTACAGTGGAACGGGCGAAGACAGGGTTTTCCGTGGCCTCCACGATCACCTGGTGGGCAGGGCCTCCCACGCCCCGCTGTGCCTCGTAGTGCCGGAGCTCCTCGCTGATGCCGGACACCGTCGTCTGGGAGCTGTACTCCGAGTCGGAGGAATCAGACCCATTGTTCACGTGGCCAGGGGGCACGGCAAACCGGACGACACTAGGGGGTGGCTCCGGGGAAGGGGTGGGCAGCCGGTTCAGGCCATTGGCTGGAGACACCTATTTAAGGGGATTCCATATTAAAAGTGCCATCATCCATTCACCTATCGGCCCCACTCGAAATTCTAAGCACTGTATTATTCAGGGGTCTGTGTCCTCTGCCTGGTGCCCGGCACACTGCACCGTATCACCTCCTCGCTCTCTGTCACCTGGAGGACCCTCAGGTCCCACAGCTGGGGCGGAAGCACTGCCCTTTGCTTTCACACCATGGAAAGGCCCTTTTTACTCTTGTTAAGCCCAGATATTCATCTCGAGTGCAAAGTCTTCATTTATTGTATATAGATCCATGAGACTTAGGCTGCCAATCAGTTGGTTTAAAGAACCAAAACCAGTTCTATACCCCCCCCCCCCAGAGCCATTACAATGAAGAGGAAAAGAGCCATCATTATCGAGATGTTTACTGAAAAACAATCAGCAAATGGGGATAGACCTAAATATCTAAATTAAGAGCGGTACCAGAAAAAAACCACATTCAGGTGGCCTGTGGATTGGACACCGTGCCCAGCATAATTACTGACCTCAGGATATGGTCCAAAGAAAGACAAAAGAACTGGAAGCAAAACCAGGCCATTGAGAACACCCAGGATTGTGAGGATCGCCAGGACAGCAAAGAAATACCTTGAAGATAAAAGGAAATGGAATATTCATTGTGACAGAGGTAAACCATGCTGCCCTTCGTGTGCGCAAATACCGCAGCATGCCAACACCAGAAATTAACAACACCCACCCCACTGAAAAGGCTGTTACAAAAACCACAGTTCAAATTTAGCACAAGATTAGTTTTTTGTTTTTGTTTTTTTTACCTTATGAGTTTGAGGGGCTACATTCCACAACCCAAAGTGTTAGTTCACGAAGGGAAGAAAAAAAAATCAGTTTGTTAATTTGCTGAAATCTCATGGCATGTAATGTTATTTATGAATGTGTTACACAAACACAAAAATATGGAATGCGAGCTGAATGGCTGAGCAGACTGAAAGCGCAATACAATGCCGAGGGGCCCTGTTCACGAAAACCCAGCAGAAGCAAACAAATGAAGTGAAGGGTGTAGAATTTAAACAATTTAGCCCAGGAGGAAAAGCAGCCCACTTCTGCAGGCAGCTAATCCACTGTGAAATGCTTCTGCATCTTACGGCAGAATCTCTAATTAAGTCTCCAGCGTATCAGGTAAGGCTTTCCCTGGGCTTTCATTAATCACAACTTTCTGCCTAGAATTCTGTGAGTTCCAGTTTTACCAAATAGCTCCAATTGCAACCTTTTTAGAACACAGGAACCAGCTTTCTGCAAAGAAAATGCTGCCCATTCTGTGGGAGCGGGGGCATTGTGCTGGGCGAGGGCCCTCCACAATGGCCGGCTGCTCTGCCGGCCAATCTTTTGTTGAACAATTTAGCATCTCTGAATACTCTTGTTTTGCGTCAGCCAATTCAAACATAAAGGCCGCAGCACCATGGCAGAAGAGGAGAGTGCACAAGTAGTTCTGCTTTCCCACCATTGAGGGCTAAGGTCTGGGATCCTTCACAAATACCAAGGTAGGCCCGTCAGCCAGGGGCATCCTCTGGCAGACACTCCACACAGTCGGACGGTGCGGACTCCACCCAAAGGATGCATTTCTGGAAGTAATGATTTCTAGGGCAACTTTGATGGAAGTGGGGGAGAGGCTCAGGATGTTCTGGGAAGAGGGAGTGCAAGATATCTATCTTTTAATGGCCCTGTGGTTCATAAAATGGAGCAGTCACCTAACTTTGCCATGTCTATGTTTTGACATCAGATGAAAGGAGAGAGAATCCCTATAAAAATACAAATACCTTGCAGCTATTGTAAACATTAGAAACTTCTGAGCTGCATTAGTAAAAAACCTAGCAGCCAATGTCTTACTCTAATGTAAACTGCTAGAACTTTCAGCTGAGGCATATATCAGCTGCAGGCATTAAGACATTTGCATCCCATCCATCTAGCTGAAGCATAAACAGACCAATTAGATTTCTGACAGCTTAGTGTATACAATGTCTGCTCATTTATTCGACCTCAGTGAGGGCTTTATCAGGTTAATCCATCCAGTTCTAGAAAATGGGAAGCCCTTTTAAGTGCTTGAAACAGGAACCCTGCTATCTCTGGGAGGGAACAAGCAGCCACGGGTTAGATGAGAGAGCTGGGATTCTGCCGTGTAGGTTCCCAGCAGGGTGCTCCAACCCAGGCTCACTTAGCATCCCCCATAAGGCCAATTTAGATCCTCATCCCACCAGCAAGAGATCCCAGCAAACTCTGTTTTCCCTGGTTTTGAGTTGCCTATGAACTTGTCTCTCTCCTCAAAGACCTTAAGCTACACAGAGGGGTATGGGGTCTGTCTTAATTTGCTATTGCACAAAATGGCACTTACGGGGTACTCACTGCGTTAGGGTTGAAGGAGAAAGTAAATATGCAAAAGAAACTATTTGACATTGGAGCTTTTATAGCATAAAGAGACAATACTAATGACTGAATAAGTGAATACTAAGAAAATAAGGGAAAATTCAAAATCAAATTAAGAGATTAGAACAAAACAGACCAATACTTATTTTAAGTACAGTAAGGCCACTATTTGCTATTGCTATGGATGTGGCCTGGAGCTGGCCAGAGGTGCAGTCTGTCTTCCGCCTGTGACCCACCCCCAAAATCCAACCATCACGGGGAGAGAGCCTCAGATGATGCGTGAGCACCGAAGGTCCTGTGTGGGGAATGCTGCTCTATACGGTGATTCCACCTCTTCATTCAACCCTCCACCAAAACCACAGTGAGCAAACGCTGGCCCTAACTCTAGGAAGGCAGAATCCCCATGATGCTGATTTGCCCAATGGGCTGTGCTACAGACTGAGCAATGGATTCACCTGTTTCTGTAATAAATAAATTTCCAGTTACTTGAAAATGAGAGGCGCCCAACTCCTTATATGCACACATGGAAAGCTTACTTAGATAATCTCTCTAGACTGAAGCAACCAAAACAAACCAATCCCCTCTCACATTTGGTTCTCTGCCTTCGCAGTTCTAATTCTGAACTATCTCTGACTTATTGATGATTCTAGTCTCGCCTCTCCACGAAGCGGCCTTACGTCCAAGGGCAGCTACCTCACTGAGCCATCGAGGCTATTCAGAGAAGAAAACGGTTTCTTTCTCTGCAGTTCTCAAATTCTTTTCAAAAGGAAAACTCACTTTCTTTTTATTCTTCACAAAGTCAAATTCTTAATTAAATCAACCAGAAATGGCTTGCCCTGAGATCCAAAGAGAAGTATCCAAGTCAGGCTTGGATTGCTAACATTTGACACCCAAGTCAAACGCTAAATGTTTCCTAATTCTTTGTGGGAACTTGAATATGAAATCTTGGCACATTATCTTCACTTCTTAAAAGAATAAAGTCTGTGTGACAATTTTAAGTATTTTTAAGTTTTCCTCTCTACAGTTTTGAAGGAGATACAGCAAAGGTCAAATTCAGACAATTAATGGGAACGGTGGTCATCTCTTTCTGCAGATATTTCTAACCTGAGACACAAATAACTGGGATATTCGGTGGTCCTTCAGTCTTAAGCTGTGGAGCTGCCTTTGCTGCTAAGCACCAATCTTCCATCTTTTGTCTTCAAGCTATTCCCCAAGATAGCTCTAGAAGAGAGCTTGTCATTATTACCTCTCAGCCCATCTCTGAGTTAACAAATTCAAAAGAGTAGAGTCTCAATGAAGAGATGCTGCAATCTACCAGCTAGAGAAGGAAATAAGCGACAAAGACCACATGAGCTAGTGACAGCCGTTTTACATTCCTGCTTACCTGACAATGAAGTCAAACTCAGATCCTGCTAACATCAGCACGCCCAGCAGAGTGGACACAGCACCGTCCAGGACGGGTGCAAACATGTGCTCTAGGGCAAGCACAGCCCTGCGGTTCTTATCACCAATGGCTGTTAGAAAGGCCTGTGCAACGAGAAAATTCATGTTATCGGAACCTGGACTTTACATGCTAAATGGTCAGCTTTGTCTTAAATGCTACAAGCCGCTTTAATCTGCCTCTCTAGAACTTCTTACATCTTACTGTTTAGCTACTGGAACGTTTAATCAGGATAGGTCAACAGGTTAAATCTGGGCTTATAGTAATATGAACTGTTCATGGTATTGAGTTATATTTGGTGTTGATATAAATCTTGAACAAACCAAAACTATACAAAAACAAGCAGAAATGTTCCTGTCTTTTCATTGCTACTTGCCTTTAAGTCCCCTCCCCCCACCCCCATTATCCCACACCATTTGGATGGGGGACCTCTAGCTGCAACAGCAACAGCATTCTGGCTAATGTTTTGGATGGTCAAAGGCTTCTGAAAGGGCTCAGCTTGGTGTCAGAAGCAACCAGGTGTTGAAATATACTTCCTCACAATTAGGCTGAGGGGAGAACTTCTGCCAATGTTTCAAACCAATGTATTATAGTAGTACCTCTAGGCACTACGGAGATATCACAACAAAAACACAGGACTATAAATTCAAATCAAAGCCATTCCAATTCTATATGGATATATCTCTGCCTCTGTTGTATTCCTAAAGCTCCTCCAGGTCAAGACAGCTGTTGATACCAAATGGAACTTTGTGGAGCAAGGTCTGTCGGTTAGAGAGTGTGACCCCAGCAGGGAGGGCTGGACCAGCAACGAATTCCCTCTCTGCTTGAAAGTTTAGGCTGCTCTGGGATATGCTGAGAGGAGAGGGCTGGGAGCCTTTGCAAGGTACATTCCTATCCCTTTATCTACCCTGTGGAAGGACAGGAATGACCGTTCATGACCATCCCCCAGATGGTGCACATCTCACTCATTATGTATGTATATACTCACCCCCCTCCCCCCTCCCATGTGCCCAATACCCTATTACTGTAGTACCTATGTGTCCACTTAGGTGCTGCTCAGTTAATACCAGTTTGCTGGTGAGTATATGTAGTGCTTGTTTTTCCATTCTTGGGATACTTCACTTAGTAGTATGGGTTCCAGCTCTAATCAGGAAAATATAAGATGTGCTATATCACCGTTGTTTCTTAGAGCTGAATAGTACTCCATGGTATACATATACCACATTTTATTAATCCATTCTTGGATTGATGGGCACTTGGGCTGTTTCCACAGCCTTGCAATTATGAATTGTGCTGCTATAAACATTCGAGTGCAGGTGGGAATGACCGTTCTTAACAGAAGAAGAGTTGCCTTTTGCTCTTGGGAGAAATCACCAAGGTGATTTGGAACCACGCTGCTCTGTGCCGTATTCAGACCACGGGGCTATAGGGGCAAGCTGTGTCTACCCTATTGCATGCAGCTTCTGTTACTGAAACAGCAGGTGAACAGGAAGCCCTCGACTTCTTAAAGTCTCTCACAGAAGAAGAGGCTTCTTTACCAACCTTATGCCCTCATTTCACAAACCCTGTCAGAAGAGCAATGACTGCCTGCCTTAAATATAATTTCACATACTGGATAGTGCCCTTGAAAAAGACTCAGACTAGAAGAGCTACAATTTAAAGATTGTGGTTAGCATTTCCAATGTAAAAATCTGTTCTAGGACACCTTTGTTTGCCATGCTAGCTACCAAAAATGGTGACTTTCATTTGTATCACGGTTTGTGGATTCTTAACTCACATGCAAATTTTTCTTTTTGAAGAAATAGTACTGAAATTATGGGCTTTCTAAAATCTAGAATGGTGTGTGCTTGTCTTTAAAAAAAAAAAAATCATCTCCCTCCTCCCAGCTCATGGAAGAAAATAATTTGAGCAGGCTCAAAATTTAGAGAATACTATTTCCATGTTATCAACTCTTTATTGCACATTGGGGGGAAAAGTGGGATAACTTTCACAAAACATTCTCTCTGAAACACAAACGTTGCAAACAATAGCCCTGAGACTGCAGAAGGCATAAAGAGGCAGCATCTGTGTAGACATGCATATGCCATGTGTTAAGCCCAAGGAAAAATCAATGCTAGAGATTACAAAAGCAACGCTAAAAGCAATTTGGTCTAAGTCCAATGCTAGGTTTCCTAGCTAGGGTATCCTAAACATCAGTATTTATTGAGTCAATAAATATTTATCGAATGCATACTAACAATGCCAAGTACTAGGTTTCCTAACAATGCCAATGCTAGGTTTCCTAGCTAGGGTATTCTAAACATCAGCATTTATTGAGTCAATAAATATTTATCGAATGCATACCAACAACGCCAAGTACTTAGGCTACAAGCACATCTGCAGATGGAACATAATTTACACACAGCTATGATGTTTTTGGATAATTCTTTGATAAATGCATGCAATGGACTCGTCTCTGAGAGACTCCTCCTGAAGTTAAATTTCCTCTAACAAAGTGTTCACAGGACCAGGCATAGAGAGAGGGGAAAACAATTCCCGTTGAAAGCAACACCGGTTCTATTGCTTTCTGCCGTCACGAGTGCAGAGGCTGGGAGGTCCGAGGAGCTGGGTGGGCTCAGGTGGAAGAGCCAGCTCTTCTAGGCTGCACACTGGAGCCTGCACTCATAGCCCTGAGGGCATTTCCTCAGCTGCCAGCTCACCTCACCCTCGATTTTGCCTTCTCCCCCATGCCACAGTGAGTGTGGTCTCCTTTTATCCCCACTTTATTACTGTTGTTTCTAAAGCTGTGTGTACGTGTGCCAACGCACACACACAACCCATCTTGGGAACACAGCTGACCACCCCGGGATCTGTGATGATGGTGAGGACGGTCAACATCGGAGGAGCGGGACCCTCCCCAGCCTACTCTGACCCCCCGGACTCTTCCTACCTCGGACAGGGCCCAGCTAACATTTAACTTCCACCCTCTCCTAGGAATCCAGAAAATTTTCAGCCACTCCTAGGGAACTCTGGCACTCTAGAAGCCTTTTCACCATGACGCCTGGGGAGAATCCAAAGGTGCCCACTTAGAATGAAAGAGCTGAAAGGAAACAGGTCGCTCTTTCAGAAAGTTTCCCATACCAAGGCGACGTGAACGGTGAACTCCACGCCGATGCCAACAGAGGCGATGAGGATGACCACGGGCACGGCACTCAGCTTGATGCCAATGAGGCCCATCATGCCGAACAGCTCGACGGTCATCAAGGCCAGGACCATCACCTGGAAGAAGGCACACAGCTGTGAGGCAGAGGGCATGGCACGCTCTGGGCGTTGTAGACGGTGGAGGCTGTTAAAGTGCTAGGTGGCCTCCTTTTCTCAAAGGAGAAACATCTGTGACCCCGATACAACGAATGTCCTAACTTGCTTTAAATGTACTTCCCAATTCAGCTGCCTGCTGGGAGGAGGGGGGGGACTTTGGGACACCAATTTCTAGGACTGGAGAAGGAGTACATAAAGGCAAAGTTTAGTATTCTAATGCAAATTGTTTTTCCATTATGCCTGCTCTAGAAAGCAAAACAATTCCTACCTGGCTCCACCAGGGCAACCTACATAGAATTAACAATCATGGACTCATCACTTGGCTATAAATTTCATGTATTTTAAAATAAGAGCTTTCCTTTTGTTTGATCTTAACCATCAGAGACCATGCACTGACTCATCAGTGAGTTTTTGGTTGGCTAGGCCTACATCCTAAAGCAAGCTGATAAGATGGGGTGAATACAAGTTCTCGGAGCCCATGGGTTGAGTGAAGATGGTCTGGGAGCCAGTTAAGTGGGTCAGGTTACAGGGCCCTGCACTTTGGAGAAAAGTGGGTAGACAAAGCAAACCTGTTGAATCCAAGGAAAAGCTTCTCTTTGCCTTTCATCTTCCTTGTAAAAAAAATTTGGGGGGAAAATGGAAAGTAAATCTGTGGGGGAGACTTTGGAGTCCTTTGGAGCTCCAAAGGGGAAAAAATACAAATAAAACAACAAACTTTACACAGATGGAAGAGAAGGAGAAAAATGATCTTTCTCCTGGGGCGGTGGACAAGGGTAGTGGGTGGGAGGGGAGGAGTAGTAAGAAGTGGATGACATCAATCACTGAGTGCCACAAAAACTCCCACAGACTAAACATTTACCTTTTAGCATACCTGCTATACAGACTCACAGTGCAGAAACAAAACCTGGTCTCTGTTTTTATAATTTTGGCATTTTAAAGGCTATACCACAGCTCACAGAATTTAAACACTGCCATGGTTTTATTAGACTCGATATGAAACTTATTTCAAATCTGAGATTATTTTGGAGAATGGATGCCAAAAACCAGGTTAGAAGTATTAGTTTATCATTCCCCTCCCCCAGGAGTTAAAATACACAACACCCCCTTCTAAAATCATTTTCTCCATATATCGCTATCCTAACTTCTGTAATTATCCCTCTTGGTTAAATATAGAATACCTTTCTGTGTACTATTAGGTCTGAATGAGGTCACCAAATGACACTTTTGAATTTTAAAAATTAGTTATGCATTGAGTGTTTTTATTTAACACTCAGAGCTGTGATGGAAAGTGAGCTTTAAAAAGTCTCCTATCTTTACATAAAAATCTTAAAGCTATAGGAGAGGGCACACAAGATTAAGGCCATTAGAGGCTCTACCCTTACCCATGAACCTCACCACCTCAAGTAGAATAAATATATTATGGATGATGCAATCTATACCTTCCTCCAGAGGCCCAGACATAAACAAAACTTCCTGGCTGCAGAAAGAGCTATGCTGAAAGGAATTTGACTTCCACAAAGACCCTTATAATAAACTCACAATGATCCCGGCCGTCCAGGGGTTCAGAAGGAAGACAGCGCACACGAGGAACGTGCAGGCCAACACCACGCTGATGGACAGCAGCAGCCAGTGGCGGAGGCCGATGTACTGCTCCCAGAAGAGGAAGGGGTAGCCGTTGGGGTAGCTGGAGAGACCCAGGCTCGTGTAGTTGTTGCAGATGGTTCTTACTTTTTCGATCGCTTCCACAAAGTCTGCAGTGTCTTGCAAGCCGTTGAGGTAGAATGGGAACTGAGCATATTCGATGGGCTCTGCTGCCGGGACTGGACAGAGAAGGCCGCATGTTAACAGAGGGTCCAGGGTGGAGGGACTGCTTGCAAGGATTCCACTGCTGTGATCAAAAGAGAACTCTGCAAGGAAGCTTACTGGCTGCACTTCTTTTAATACAAAGGAGAAGCAATTGCTGATGACAAGTCTCTGGGTCTTTACGATTTTCATATCTGGTTTAAAAAACTTTAAACAATAATCAACCTTTGGCAGGGGAGAAGCCTACGATCTGTGTATTTTTTAACCTTTGATTTTAATCTTCCAGAAGCAGCCAGTCTTTGTAAAGGTGGGGGTGGGGGGGGTGGGTCCTAAACAACTCCAGACTTAAATTTTCAGAACATTTTTTTGTTCTAGTGGCACACATGAAAATGCTAAGTTCGAACTATTTAATTCAATCACTTCTGAGAGCAAAATAATACCAGAGCCATGCTTTCCTGAGAAAAATGCTTAACTTATCCTTTTAGTGATCGAACAAATTTAAACCTTCTATGCTTCTTTTCTAATGCAATGCTAAGTCTTCAGCAACAGGGGAAGAAATCCTCACACAACAAGCATTTAGTTACTGCCGTTGTGTGTTCCAGACCCTTTGGGGTCATTCAGTTGACTTGCTAAACATGATTTGCCCTATTATAATCTCAACTATAAATTTTCATTAAGACAAGCCTTGGCTGCTTGCCACAGGGCTCTGGGGTTTAGATCCAGGGAAGCACAACTCGCTCACTCCCCGGCCATGTATGCAAGGGGACCCCGTCTCCTTTCTCACATCCTCCCTCGCCCTGATATCCAATGTACAAGCTACTAATATCTCTAACATAAATGCAAATTAAATCCACACAGAACCACCTTTCAAACTCGGGGCTGAGAGGTGAAAGGAAGAGGACACTGTTGTATACAGACTTTTCTGCTCCGGTTTAAACAGCTTTGACAGAGTACAGGTGCTTGGTGGCTTATGGGAATGACCCAACGTGCCAAAAATCCCTTCAACACCAGAGTTGACAAAGTTAAGATAAACATATAATCCCCAGCGATAGAACTTTGCAATAGTAAAATAACACTCAACCTGGAGGCATCCCCGACTTTCACATGGAACAGCTGGCATTCAAGAGAGATGCCTGATGAGCATCTTAGAGCAAAGCTACAGACAGAGATTAGAGAGTCTTATTTCTCAACGTGATAGAGCGCGGGGTTGTATTCCATTACACATCCTCATCTGTCTCCCAGAGTTTTAAACTAAAAGAAATATATTGTTCTGTTTACACTTTTGAACCCTGGGTAGTGTCAAGGGACGAGGGCTATTGTTGAGCTCTGGAGAAACAGGGTAAGTGGACGGAGTGCTACTTACTTCTCAGCCTTGTTTCTGGCATGTAGTCGGCTTTGTCGTGGACCCATTCAGGCCGGTGAGGCCGGATGTTGGCCTGGGAGGCAGCGTAAGCCACGGGGTCATTGCTGACCCAGGCCGTCAGGTAGATGTAGAAAGCGCTGGGATTAATGATGCCATCTGCATCCACCAGGCGCTGTTTAGTCAACTACAAAAATGGGGAGAACAGAGGCTTTTGAGAATGGGGCCGCGGGTAAACACATTCCTGCCTAGAGAGAGCAGAAGCGGAGCTTTGCACCAGCATTTACAACAAAGAATAGAATGCCCACTGTTTGAAAGTGTTGAAAATCCCATCAGAACACCTTTGATTTCTTTCAAAGCGTACTTATCGGAGGATGCAATCATCAGTGTGTTTATAACAAACACACAGTTCTGCAGATGGCCCAGGAATTGGCTGAACCAATTAAATCTGAATGCTAAAAGACTGTCTGCAGCCAAGGCAGAGAATGAACAATCTGGAGAAACATATTTATAGGAGGGGAAGGGGGAAAAAAACCTGGCAAGAATCCCCATACACGTCTGTGTGCAGTTAACCTCCGTTGTTAACACTGAAGGAAATGCCACCCAGTAAATGGAGGAGAGCTATAAAAATAAAACAACATCTGTATAAATTTTGCTAACACTAGCCTCCTATGACCTGTGTTTTCAAAAAATGCCCAATGCAAGGAAGTGGAAGAGAGTAGTGCACACACGAGGCCTTTCCAGGTAATCTCAGCTCCAAGAGGTGGTCACACTCAGTGTGCTGGACCCTGTGCGTGGCCAAGGGTGCTCCGTCTACGCTAGGCCTTGGGGGTTTTGCTTAGGTGAAAAGTCCCGTGAGATTAAGTGTGTGCACATATATTTCATATACATAGAAAAATTGTGTTTCCTGTTTATTTTAGATTCAAGGCCTTGTTTCTTAGTTTTGGTTTTGTTTTTTTTTTTAAACAAAATGAAAAACACCAGTGACAACAATTAATAGGGAAAGAGCAAAGGAAGAAAGCATGGAGGAAGAGAGTGAGAGAACTAGGTTTCAGGGATCTGGATTGAATTAATCCACAGGATATGTAACAACTGTATGTCTTCAAACCGTCTCTGGAATTACATAGTGCAGCTCACGGCCTCCGTGCATGCAGCACGATCTTCTCCCTCCCAGGCGGAGGAAATGGTATCTGCGGGCCTGGCCCAATCACATTCGTCCCATGGAGTCCCTCGTCCCTCAAGCCAGCTCAGCTCCTCAGCATCTCCCTGCCATCCCTCAGGCAGACTCCTCTGCCCACGCCCTTGCCAAACTGACAGCCTGCTGCATGTTGCTATAAAGCAACGAGTTTCACACTCCATAATAACTCTGAACAATGTACTTTGTAAATCTGTCACCTTTAATGCCAGCAAAAGAGGGGAGACAATAAACAGAGCTGCTGAGAAGATCATTAGCATGACGGTTTTCTGCCTGAAGGTACAGCACGCAGGCTACCCAGAGCAAGGAAAGAGGCTCTGTGGAAGCCAAAGGCGGGAGCGTGGGACCCATTTGAAAGCTGAAGAGCCCCGCACGTTCCTGAACACGCCTGAGGATTCAAGAGGGATATGCTGGAACCCCAGCCTCTCGAAGGGGCAAATGCAGGTGGAGAACACAACCACCAAACAGAAACAGCTCCTCTTACGTAGGGGAGTGGGCAGAACCGCGAGTCCACTTGGATGGCAAGGATCTTCATTTCCATTTGCTTCACTCAGGACAGAGTGAACGAAACCAAATGCAACAAATCCTCCCATCATTCTAGTAACCTCTCCAATCTCCTAACTCATCCACCCACCCCAAATTCTGTTCTGCTCATCTAAACAACTGCCACCCAACAAATCCACCTTTCCATGTTTTAATACAGCCAAGACCAACACGGTGACAAGGACTAGATTTTGGAGGAATAACGTTGACAGCATTTCTCCCATCTGAAAGAGCCCTCGTTGTCTGGACTGCCCTTTATTCTGACAATTGTACAGGAGGCAGGCAACACAGCTGTCCCCACCTGACAGACTAGGATGGTGAGGCTCACTGGCTTGTCTGAGGTCACACAATGCATGGATGGAAGGAGGTGAATTGGAGCCAAGTCAGTACTCTTTCTACCAGCTGCTAATGCCTCAGGCCTCCCCAGAGCTCGGGTTGGGACGGCATGCTATCAACCAGTCTTCTGCAGGGCAGCTGCCCCGCAGCTCTGCTCAGCTGCGGCCTGGAACCCGCATGGCGTACCTGACTGATGTCGATGGGCTTGTCGCCACTGCCAGTCTGCACCAGGAGTTTGTAGGCAAGGACCCCATCGTCCGATCCATTCTTGTAATTGTTTGGCATGATTTTCCCAGTCTCCCAGTCACTGTCAAATGCGTCCTGAAGTCCTAGAAAAGGCAAAAGTGCGTAACACGTTACAACTTTTAACTAGAATGACCCTGGTCCATTAGGGGTGGGCTGAGGATGGGGAGCAGGACAGAGGAAAGATGGACATGAACCCCAAACATTCTTCTGTGTTTTACTTCCCCTCCAATTGGTAACATCAGGTCTTTCATGAATGAGCTGCAGGTTGCTAATAATCACTGCTCCAAAGGGCAAAAGGGAGATGTTTGTTTCTAGGAAACAAGGATATATATTTTACCTTAAAAAAATTAATTCCTCTTCTTTTCTCCCATGACTATTCCAAAAGCAAGCAAGAGAAAGGCACACACCAGGTTCGTTAACTGTTTCGTGCCACAGAGGGTGCTAAGCACGGGTTCTTCAACACAGCCAGAAATTCCACTCGGAGGGGGAAAAACACATTCAAACTCCCAACTTCAAACAGCAACTCAGCCGCTTCTGGAGCCCAGGGTGAGTGAACACGATTCTGTCAATTTGTTCCATCTGTTCGACTTGTGGAGCTAATACAAGCTGTGGGATCCGCTGCCAGGTTGTGTAAAGATCACAGCCAACACCTATTCACTCTCGCCTGTTCTCTTCCTCCTCGCCACCCTTCCTTGGGAGAGGGGCATGGGGGAAGGAAGGGAAGGATCGCGTGTGGACTCGTGGGGAAATACCTCACAGGGTAAATTTGGATCCGATTGAGAACAGGAAGCCACAGGCCAATACAAGGAGGCTCTGTGAGAACAGATGACAAACCGCAAGCCCGGGGAGGGGGAGGGAGGCGTGCTCGGGCCTGGGGGATGGGCGTCCACCAGCCCACCACACACAGCTGCGCTAGGCCTCTGTAATCAAAACCATCATTACAGACCTGACGGTTTGGCTACAGCTGTAAAGAGATAAGCGTGTTGGAAGAGAAAACAGGGCCCTGGTGACCCGGCCTTAGGGTCTGAGCGCTGGCTGGCGCACTCTCCGTGGAGGGCCCCCCCCCCCCAGTCACCTCCCAAGTAGAACTCCCAAGCCCAGGCAGCTCAGGAAACCACAGCTTTTGAGCAAGCTGAACATGTATGGGTTAGACACGGCTGGTACGAAGGGAGAAGGGCTTACTTCATTTCGGGACATGCCTTGGATGACTTCAAAGACCCAAAAACAAAAAAAAAAATCTGGTTGTGTTAGTGCACAGAATGGTTAAGCTCGTGGGGCTTGAAGTTGGGGGTCCATGGAGGTGGATCGCAGGCCCCTTCTCTCTCTTTTAAAAAACTAAGTCCCCCTTCCAACACTGCTGGTTATACGGGCAATTTGGGGGCGAGGATGGTGGGCTTGGTGGTGAAAGCCCCCCCCCCATTGTGGGGTGGGAGAGGGGAGACAGGGCAGGGAGAGACCACCGGGTCGGCTGCACTCCCAGCTCTCAGCCTGTTTTTCATAGCAAGGCAGGCACGCAAGCCGTATTGAACAGATGTTATTTTATTACTGAAAGCCTTTTTCCCCCTATTTTTGAAAAACATAAACAGGAGAGGAAAAACAACCGCTCCCCCTATGCCCTGCAAAAAGGAGGCCTGGTCTGTTTTCCTCACCACAATAGAATTTCCATCACTTCGTGACACACAGCGGACTTTAACCCTCTCCCTCTTGACAGTGAGTTCCCAAGGGCAGCCATGCTTAGGGAACACTGGGCTCTTCTAGTTTCTCACCCAGCAGCCCTTGTTTAAGTCCCACAACCACCTCATGAGACAGTGCTCACTCCCACTTTAGAGATGGGGATACTGAGGCTTGGAAAGGTGAAGCACTTGACAAAGGCCAGCCGGCAGGTCAGTGTTGGATCTAAGCTTAAACTCAGGCAGTTCCAGAATCAGCTGGGACCAGTCAGTGCTCCGAACCGCTCTGAACACACCCTGGTACCCAAGAAGTGTTTGTTGAATAAGATTAGCAGAGTTAACTCCCGTACCAACATCTGGTGGCAAACTGGGGGAGCAAGAATGCCCCAACAACCTGAGGGCAGTTTTAAGATATTTGCTGGGACACCCTAGGGTGAAACAAAGAAAGATCAGATACGAGAGGTCAACCCTGCTGGCAATTCAACTCATTACCCACCCACTGGTCTCTTAGGTGCCACTCTACTGGGGGCTCAAAAATGAACAAGAAACAGTCATCTATTTTATGGAAAAGTCCTCTCATGACTAGTATAATGTTTTCTGACTTGTTACCAAAAAGTCCAAGTGACACTGGGCTGGCCTAAGTGCATGGACAATATATGACTCTGGACACAAAACAAGGGACACAGATGTGCTTCTGTTGTCTCTTGGCCAAGAGTTTATATTCTGACACTTATACACTATAGAAATTGGCAACATTTCACTTATTTCATGGCAAAACCTTAAAATTTAGTCAGTACTTCTTATTATAGATATTTTATACTAAAAATTATTTTCTCATGTAAAGTTCTGGGCTAAAGAAATGATCCCAATTGCCAATTTTTCTTTAGATATGAGACCCTAAAAAGAAAATGTTAATCAAAATTTTATTTGCATAATTTGGTGTGAGATAAAAAGGAACACCACTTGGACCTGTGCATCAGGTTTTCTCACTTTATCTTATCTGCATGTATGTTGGAGATGTAACATGTGGGATAATTTCTGAATATACTATTATGTATTTTTATTAGTAAAAGAAAAAAAACAAAAACAAACTGCTGGAATTCTGATAAAGACCAATGTGATGACATGGTTTTAATGGCAAGTGCATTAAAAACCAATGAGGTTCCCACCATGAAAAATTAGCTGGGTGTGGTGGTGCATACCTGTAGTCCTCATCTATTTGGGAGGCAGGAAGATTTCTTGAGCCCAGGAGTCTGAGGTTGCAGGGAGCTACAATGATGCCACTGCACTCCTCTAGCCCAGGCAACAAAGCAAGACCCTGTCTCAAAAAGATTCTCAAATCCTGCTGCTTTACATTGGTAAAGGAAACAAAGTATAGAGATAATCTATACTACTCTATAAAAAGGTTAACGGTCTGCATTGCCTAGAGACAATACTCCTTTGCCCCCTTCCCCAACCCTGCCTAGCACACCATATTGAGCATCGGAAGGAATGGCTGAAGACACTGAAATGCATTCTACAATAACCCTGCTCTGCTCAGATGCTGGCAGTGCACAGCAGATCTCTTTGTCATTTGTCACAAGTTATTTGCATGTCTTTGGCCAATGGGACAAAAGCAGGGACTCTCTCCACTATCTCATTCTTTTAACTCATCCCCAAACCTTTTAAAACTAAATGTGAAAACCTAAGACTTGGAACAAATTCAAATTCATCTCAGAAGCATATTAAAAATAATAATCATAGCATGTTGTTCTGTTCACCTTCCTCCAAAATAAAAATCAAATCTGGTATACATGTATGAACAAAATCCTAGTAACACAAGTTAAAGCCAGAAACTGTGTGGAACCATGCTCAATCAACCTCAAATTGTTTACCATCTCATACAAACTCACAGGGAAATTGGCTGCTTAATCTTCAGATACAAGTGTATTGACTTAAGACCAAAAAGGGCACTTAAATCTGTGTTTAAACAAGACTAATTAAGTGGGAAATTAAGAGAATCATTTGAATAACCTAAGCCAAAAAATGTTGGGTGCCATAATGATTTGGGAATTCCAGTAATAACATTTTTGCTTGAATTGTGTTGGATAATTATCCTGATTCTCTACTTCACTTTGCATGTGTCAACGCAGAATTAAGTGAACAGATGTTCTCAGAATCACTGCATACATTTATACTCAGTCAGTTAGCAGTCAGGGGCAAATGTAGACAATTTTTTTCTCTCCAGTTGACTAATATTCCTAGAAATGTTTGTAAGTGCAAGTTCAGAAGCCAAGAAAGGCATTTTAAAGCAGAATTCAATTATTTATGAAATGATGTCAAACGTGATTAAGCATTTATAAGTTTACTTCATTTGCCAAATCAAAAAATGATCAAAATGAACCCAAATGTAAACTATACACTCCGGGTGATAATGACATGTCAATGTAGGTTCACCAACTGTTACAAATGCACCACTCTGGCAGGAGATGTGTATAGTAGGAGGCTATGCATGTGTGAAAGGGAAAATGGGAAATCTCTACTTTCTGCTCAATTTTGCTGTGAACACAAAACTGCCCTAAATAAACTAAATTAGAAATAATAGTAAATGAAATTAGAAATAAATTTTTTAAAAGACGGTCAAAATACGGAATTCTGAATTATATCCACTGCTGATCCAAACTCTTGTGGTGCAGTAAGCTATAATTTGGCAGCAGATCAGCCTAGGAATTCCATCAACGCTTTGCTTTCACTTGGTCACCAAAACAGCCACCATCCATCCAAAAGCAAAGAGCAACAGAAGTATCTGGCTCCATACTTTATAATACACTTTCCCTTTTCCTAATGTGTACTCATAAATTCTTACAGAAGTTCCTGAGTCACTCATTTGAATTATTGGCATTGTCTCACAGGTAAAAGCTAGATTTGGGAGGCTGCCGCAGAAACGGTCCATATAAGAATTTCAAGCAACACTCGGAAGTCATCAATGAAACATGTCAGCGTTACGTTATGATCTAGCACTTACTTAAGTGAATAAAGGGAACTCGTAGAAGCTGAACACACAAAAGACCAAAAGGACAGACAGCCCCCTAGCAGTGCCTTCCGTACCTTGCAGCCAGTCTCTGAAGTAGTGCAGCCACATTTTGGGAAGCTGTTTGTTTTCTTCCAACATGACATACTTCACATTACTGAAACTCTTGTGAAGGTCGTAAAGTAAGTGCTGGATATTCGGGTAGTCTGCTTTCTGTGTGACTATATACATGTTGTAGAAAGAAAAGTATTTGAATTGTGCAGCAATAAAGTCATATTCTCTGGTTTCCCGAGGTACAATGTCTGTGAGGTCCAGCCCATCTCTCACTCGGGTGGTCCCATAAAGGCTGACCCCCAGCAAGCCCAGGAAAAGGAAGATCACCACGACCTGGAACAGAATAAGAGGCATTAGGTCACACCCAAATGTCACGGACTCTTCCTTGACAAAGATAAGCTGTTTAGTTATTATCTTCATGTCACCACTACACTGGCCCTGATCTAGCATGTAGGAGGTGTTCTCCCAGAGGGAAAAAGATAAAATCACAGTAATCACATTCTTAAAGAACCTTATAAAGAATAAAAATGTTTAAAATGTAAGGCGTTCTGGGAGGCTGAGACAGGAGGATTGCTTGAGCTCAGCAGTTTGACACCAGCCTGAGCAAGAGCAAGTCTGCTTCTACTAAACAAAAATCGAAAAAATTAGCAGGGCATGGTGGTGCACACCTGTAGTCCCAGCTACTTGGGAGGCTGAGACACGAGGATAACTTGAACCCAGGTGTTTGAAGTTGTAGTGAGCTATGATGGTGCCACTGCACTCTAGCCAGGGTGACATAGCAAGACCCTGTCTCAAAAAAAGAAAAAAAAGTTTAAAGTGTAAGGAGGTGATCTAAATTCATAGAAACACTCGCTACATAGAGATTCACTCCTGTGGAGGATGAGCTTATTGAAACGGCCCCAAGCTCTACATGGATCGATTCTTTTAGAGGCCTGAAATGTATCATACTTTAATCAGTTTATTTTTTTAATGGAAAAGAAGGAAACTAGAAGCAGTGACTTGTGGTAGATTACCTTGGCTTTTGGTTTCAAGAGGAAAGGAGCATAGTGTTTTTCAGCAAAAGATGAGAGCGTCCACTTGGTACAGGGGGGCTCGAGGCAGTGGAGGCTGGAGTCGGAGAACTGGGAGAGCAGGTCCCTTGTGGAGCTGGTGCTCTCGGGGCTCTGGCAGCTGAGGGTGTCCTGGGTCACGGTGACAGGCTGCACGGAGATCTCCGAGCGCGGCTCCGCGGTGGTGTAGTACACGTGCGTGTGGGGGTCGTACTCTGTGCGGAGCTGCACGGTGGACTGCATGGTAATCTGCGTTTCGCGGGCAAAGCTGTGGCTGCTGTAGGGGGGCGGGGGGCTGTATCGGGTGTTGTCGTGGGTCTCTGTGTAGGCCTGAGGCTCGACCTGGATCACTCTGTTAACACAGGGGCTGGAAGAAGGGGAGATGCATTGCAACGTAATGCTGAAACAAGGGAAAACGGTGCTGTTGTTTTTGCCAGTGACTGAGACTGCCCATCTCACACAGCTGTGACTTAGGAGGAACCAACCATCCATCCTACCACCAGACTCCACAAACATCGCCCGACTGACCTGGACATAGACGTGAGTAAGGAGGCCAAATGGAGGACTGATCCTAAATCTGACTTACGAAAGCAAGTTACATGATGATTATCCCCTTTAGAGCATGATTCTAAATAAAACAAAACAAAAACACTACCAAAGAACTATATTCTTATCCTTGATGGGTGTTTTTCAACCTTGTTGTGCTCTAATGCAGAGATATAAAACATTCCCAATAATCACCAATATCCATTCACGACAGAAGAAATGATCATGTGTACCGGAACCTCAGGGGTTGTGAGAATGCTCGTTGGGGGCGCGGAGAAGCCCGGGGACTCAGATGTTCCCCAAGGAAAGCACCCTCTGTCCAGCATCTCCCCCCTCCCTCCATTGCATCCGTGCAAAACCTGTTAACTACGTTCCCTCGTAAGTACACAGACCGGGAGAGTTCTCTGACAGCACCACTCTGTACCCAACCAGCAAAGGGCATGGCGGCTGAAAACGTACCTTGTAAAACAGCAGAAAATATCCAATCTCCTGTCCTCCCGTCGATATAAATCCATGCTGAGAATGGCAGGAAAAATGAGCAGAACCATGGCAAAATTGAACACCACTACGACTGCCGCCTGAGAGCAGAAAAAAAAAATTTAGAGGTCACAAATATGCCTCCTCCCAGGGGGCCTGCCTTGAAAATAAAGATGTTTTTAAACAACATTTTTCTTTCACCTACCCTATCAAGGTGTTTAGAGGGTTGTTAGAGGTCCTCGCCATTTCGCTCCTCTCCCATCATTAAGAGCCCGTTTGTCTGGAATGGGCCCATTCATTCCTATCCTTTCCATCTCTAATAAATTCCTTGAACCCACGAGGTACGAAATAGGAACTAAACTACCAATGTCTTGCTAGCAAACTAACCGAACCAAACCAAACCCAGGCAGAACAGAATCCACTCGAGATGTTTTAATTTAAAACAAAAAGCAGCATTTCCGTTCCAGAACATTTCTAAGAGCTCCTGCGACCTTGACTTTGCATTTAAAGATCCGTATAATAAAGTGGATCGAGTATATCAAAATGTCACCTTTAAAACATGAAATAAAATTTCACACACGTCCCCTGAGGTTTTTAATAGGCACATTCCAAATAGCCTCTGGAGTAGCCTGTGGGGTGTGCGGGTGAGTAACATAAAAGGTCAAGGAGAGTTAAGCAGAAAGAAATTCCTGTGTGTGATTATAGGACGCAGAATAAATAAGTACAGATTCAAAAGTCACTCCATAACCTAGAATAAACACGGGGCTAGATTCTGTAGTGCTTTGGCAAAACTCCTGCTGACCTAGTAAAAATTACAAAATTGGGCTGTTAATAGGGGAAAGTCAACAGAGGACAGTTGAAAGGGCTATCCTGTTCAGAAAAGCATGGCAAAAAGCAGAACAGAAAAATGGAAATGGAATGCTAAGTAACCAAGAAATAATCAGACATTTTTTTTAAAAAACGAAAAATTCTTATGAGGTTTTCCAAAGAACTGCTTAGCTCAAAGACCTTCTCAAACTGGGTTAATGTCTCAGGGTGAGAAAAGAAAAAACCTGGCTACAACTGGTACCTAAGAAAATCAAGGGAGAACTCCACAAAGGGCTTTTGATGGCAACTGTGAATTTATGCTCAAGGTGAAATAGCATGCCCGGGTTCTGGACAGATGCCTTTCGATAATTAATTTCCTGTCAAGTCTATAAAACCATAAAAAAAACCCCAAAGTCTCCATCTAAAAATTACCTAACCCCTTTCTTCTTAGTCTATCTTAAAAATTACTCATCAATTCAAAAATGTAAAGCATGTTAACTTAGCACTTTATAGCACACAAGGCACTTTAAAGACCAGTGTGGCAGGCCTGTGTGGATGAGCACGTCACTGCTGTGACTAGAGAATCTATCTTAAGAGACGGATACTTTAAAACGTGCTGGGTGCTGCAGGCGCAGAGACAAAATCCTGCTCTCAAGGACCGACACAGCAAATCACAGTCCTGACCAGTAAATGCAGTAATGAAAGCAGGGACCGGGTTCCAGAGCAGCTCAAGAGGGAGCGAGTGTCAGCGTGGCGTGGTGAGGAGGGTCGGTCAGGCAAAGTTTCCTGGGAGATGTTTCAGCGGGGTTCAGGAGATGAAAAAGAGGTTGGGCAGGATCGGGGAAGGACAGGTGCTGTGTGTGGAGGCAACAGGGTAGGCAGTGTTCCAGAGGGGGACATCCCCTCTTGGACACTGTCTCAAGTTGCTCAGTGCTGCTGGGATTTAAAACTCAGTTTGGGGAAGTGAAAGGAGAAGCGATGAGTATCAGGTAGTTAATACTGGATGCATTCACTTCCCACAGCAACTCGGGGGCAGATGTTCCTACTGCTGTCGGCACTATTACCTTAATAAAGATCCCCCAGGTGCAGAGTAACATCACCTGTATGGGGCTGACCAGTAAATCAGTTCATGCAAAGCCCTCAGTGCAACTGAGAAGTGGGAGTTCTTGTCTGAGAGGAAGTGTGTGGCCTGGATTAGGATTCCTGACCCATCAGACAGTAGGGGATGCTGGGAAGAACAGGTGTGATTCTAAAGGAGATGGTCCATTTGCAGGAAATCATCACCCTGGGGGCAGAATCCTTTTAGCTTTTTACATCGCAGGCATGTTTAGAATTCAGGAGTAAAATGCAGAGAAGCAGCGCTGGACGGAAGTTCATAAGGGACACGGAGCACAGAGACTCTGAAACAGGAAGCCACGCTGGTGCACGCACAGGTGGTGGCCAGGGCAACGCTGCTGCTTGCCACAGTGGCTGGGAAATTTCTCTAACACGGCCTCACTGATCAGAGGACTCTGACGGGCACCTTGCCCTGTCATTCGTGATGGAAAGGAAGGGATGAGAGAAGAACTCCAAAGCAGAGTCCCACCTAACTCATTTCCTAAAAATACACTATGTATATGGGGAGAAACATTTTCTGAAAAGAAAATAGCAGAACTTCAACATCCCCCAAAGTGCAACAAAATAGTAAAAACAGCAAGGATTTCTCAATCAGGGACCAGCGTCGCCACATAGGCCATGGGGAGTTTAAGAAATTCTAAGTAAATCAGGAGCAATGTCAGGGATGATCCTGCATTGCGAATCAGTTCTAGTTACCATTTACCAAGGAGAAATTGGACTGCTGCTAAAAAAACAAAAACAAGTCTAGTCACTGTGCCTGCAGGAAATATCCCGACCCCCAAAGCATCTATGGCTGACACACTTGCAGAGGGGGCCCCAGTCTACAGCCCCTTGCCATTTGGAGCAAGGGGTTCTGTTCTGGGAGTTTTCACTGAGGAAGAAACACTACTGGGTTATCAGCAAGCCCTAGTGCAGGGCATTGGTCCCAAAGAATTACAGGTGGTGGCAGTGTTTTTTGGTATACAGGTAGCATCTGGACAGATGGAAAAAGGTTCATAAGGAGGTTTAAGATAATTTCTTTGTGAAAAAAATAAGTATCTATTTATTTTGGTCAGGCTACAAAATTGGGGAAGTTCTACAGGGAAAATTCCATATGGTAACATGGGTTTATTATTGGGCAGAACCACTTTGGGTCTCTTCCTTTTGATGCTCAATCTGTAGTATCTTACAAATATAAACACAAATGAATACCCAGTCACAATTTAACACAGTTCACTAAAGGGAGAGAAGCTACTGGTTCATTTTGAATGTCAATACTCAAAGGAAAACAGGGTAAAATTCCTGAAGGCCACTGCAAAAATCATTGCATATGCTTTCTTTCTTTTCCTTTTTTCTGATGTTTTCTTTCCCTTTTTTTTTTTTTAAGACAGAGAATGAACCAGAGTGTCATGGGAAGCCATTCTTTAATAAATGAGGACTCTTGGAAGCTGTAGATGCAATTTTCTAAAGTGATACTCCAGTGGCTTAAAATAGAAATGCAAAACCCACAGTACTCATTTTATCTCTGTAAGGTGCTTACCTTGGGAGAACTTAGCGTACTGGATTTCCTAAAAGGCTACTCCTCGTAAGGAAACCTCAGGTAGCTTTTCAGACCACCACACCATAGGATATCATTAAAGGAGAGTCTGCCTTGTTGAATCATCAGAATGTACTGAGAGAGGAGAGGAGAGAATGAGAGAGAGGGAAAAGGAGTGTGAGAAGATAAGAAAGGTAGCAAGGGGAGAGGCAAGCAGAGAAGAAAGGGGAAAGGAGAGAGAGCAAGGAGGTAGGGGCCCACTAATAAAAGACTCTTAAAACAATTTCTTAAGACCAGAACCTGCTACTGTGTAGGAAACAAGAATGGGATACAAGAGGGTGTGGAGCAGTTGCATACCTATGCAAAAAGGCATTCTAAAACTTTAGTTGTACCATTTATTTAGTGAGCATCTTTGACTCATCTTTCATATTACTAAGCAGTTAGATATATTTTCACTTTCCTTGTGTTTAGGTCCCAGTCTCAGATTTGAACTTTATTCACTGATTTCGCTCACTATTCTCCATATGTTTATAATATAAATAAACTCTTTTTTTGTTTTTTCATTTTTCTTTTGGAGCTGGTGGTTATGGTGATTGGCATAAAATCTTTTTTCATGTTATATCTTACATCAAATATTAAGTATGCCTCAAATCCCAAACCCAGCAGGATTGTCAGCTGCCCAGGCCTCTATTGATAATCAGTGAAATGAAATTCAAATACATGATTGATTGGTTCTTTTTTATATGGTGAATATGAAGACTAAGGAAAGAGCCAAATTTGTTGACAAGGCTAATTCATGATTTGTCCATTTCTCCTCCTGGTCACAATTCTCAGGACCTTTTGGTGAGTAAAGAGAATAAAGGCAGTGTGAATGAACTGGGTGTAGTAACAATTTAAAAAGTGACCCCAGAGTCGTTTCCTTTAAAAACTTGGCCATCTCATTCATTATACATCATATTGTAAGAAAGAAAGAAAGAAAGAAAGAAAGGGGAAAGCCAACATTCCTTTCATCTTTCTTTAAAAACAAATGAGGTTTTAAAATTTGAAATTAACTCACAAAACTCCAGTAACATCTTGAGATACTGAAACCCTAGACCACTCTGGGCTCAGGAAGACCACGTCATGAACTGGTCAAGTCTCTGCTTCATCTGCTATGTGGACTGATCTCAGGATTCTTATGAGTTTCAAGTAGCTCAAGGGCCATGTCAGTAATTTACTCCAAGCACAGAACGAACTGTATCTGCACCCTCATTCTAGGGAACTCTCCATGCTTGTAGTTCATGTAGGCTGAATGTTTGTTTAGAAAAATAGCTCTATGACCTCTGAGTATGAAAGGGCCTGGTTTGGAAGGACAGGACAAATCCCGAGGGAGTCAATATGCTCTGTGTAAGAAAGCGAGAGAAAATTTAAGTTTCCTTGGGCAGCCTGAGGTGGTGGGGGGAGCACGGGACCAAAAGCAAAGAGAAGAGGGACAGGAGAGATGGAGGCCAGCTAAGGAAAGGGAGGTGGGAAGCAAGAGCGCTCCAAGGAACACCCTGCAGGAAATCCTCCAAGGCACACTGGCCAATACTGTCCCATGGTGCTATCTGACATGCAGTTTCCAGTGACCATCTCATCTGGGCTACATGCAACCTCATCTTTATATGTCAATAAAGTCTGCTCTACACAACTGCCCTGGGTTGGAGTTCCTCTGGGGAAAGAAAAGAAAGGGTGTCATGTTGGGTTGAGGTGGCCATCAGGGGAGCAGAGTAACCACAGACACTGAGAAGTATTTAGAAGCTGGAGATGGCCCATAAGCTGGCTGGGCAGGGATGAACCCAGAGGACCACATGGAATGGCCTGATACTATTTAACTTTGACTATGAAGGAAAGGGCAACTCCGTAAGGCAACAGGCATTTGGGCTATGGGGCTTGAAAGGAAGGAGAGAACCCTAGAACCTAATCTATATTTTAGAGGGAGTGTCAGGGTGATTGTAGCTTAAAGCAGCATCCACCCAGCTGACCAGCGCCCCAGACAAAGTGGCATGCTACTGAATGTCAGCGGCACCTTGCTTGGAACCACCACGGATTTCACCACGGGAAACCCACCTGGAGGGAGAACGCCCGCAGAGCGGGAATCGGGATCAGCGCTGCCATGAAGAAGGCTGTGACGTTGCTGATGGACGTGAGGGCCACGCTGGCGCCTGTGCGCTTGAGGCACTCCCCGGTCCTGTCCTGAGGACGAGACACCACAGCGCTAAGGGCACAGACTGTGTGAGCAGTTCAGATATGCAGCAAAATAACACAGCTACAGTTTACGACGCTGGCGTAGGGGACAAGAAGGAGCTGTGGCTGCCTCCCCCCGGCACCAGCACCATTCGGTCCTGTCTATGCAGTCACGTGCTCTTCGTGCTTATCCCCGCCCAAAACAGAAAGCTGCAAAATGAGGACTTAAGAAAAAATTTTAATATGATTTTAAAATGTAGGGCGGTGGCAAAGTGACATAAAATCCCAGAGAATCAAACATGGGTTTGGAAAAGTACAGCAATTTAGTATGAGGTGTCTGAAATAAACACCCATATTCCTAAAGGCTCTCCAAATGGAGCTCTTGGAATTTCTCCGCAGTCGATACATGTCTTCAGATTCTTCCAGCTTACCATATGTACTTAGGGCCAGTAACATGTCAATGTCACATGGGACTGAAATCTCTACTTGGCCAGATTGAGAAAAATTAAAGGACAAATACTCAGGAGGAGAGGGAGCTGTGGGTGCCCCCAAAGCTTTCTTCTTTTGTGTTTCTATTACCTCAAAAGGGATTCTTTTATTCTGTCCTGTCTCACTAAAGGCATGGGCCAGAAGAAAAACATCATCCACACCAACGCCAAGAGCAAGAAATGGCAAAACCTGTAGCGAAAACAGAGGATGGTGGCGTCAGACATGCGAGGTTAAATTCGGATAATTCTCCAGCTATAATACTTAAAACATAGCCACCAGTGCCCGTAGCGGTTCCACAAAGGAGAGATTATATTTCCTGACAGCGAAGAATTTATCTGATAGTTTACACCCCCCACGTCTAACAGTTTCAGATCACAGTAGACCTTGTATGTTTCTATTTCTAAGGTCTATGTATGATAATTTTTTTAAGTTAATAAATGAGAAGGAATTTAACTCATCTAAAGTGATGGTTCTCAGAGTGTGACACCTGGAGCAGCATCTCTGGGAACAGGCTGGAAGTGCACACTCTCAGCCCGGCCCCAGACCCACTGAAGTAGAAGCCTCTGGGCATGGGGCCTAGCAATCTTGAGTTTTCACAAACCTTCCAGGTGATTCTAATGCCCAGTACGGTTTGAGAACCACGACCCTAGTAGATGATATAAATTCCTGTAAGTGAAATGTCTCTATTAACCAACAAGCCTATCGGTCTGCGCCCACTGCCCGAGGGGCCCGTTTAGAGATGACACTCCCCTAAGACAACAGGCATCCCAGTGGAAAAGCCTGGAACGCCCTTTAGGTGAGATGCACACGCAGGAGGCTGGCTGGGCCGAGCCTGGGAGGGGCATTTGTCAAGGGACAGTGGATGAATGGCTCCTGTAGTACCTGAGTTGTCGCAGCGTTAAAGGAAATTCCGATCAATGAGCACAGGCCCAATCCTGCAGCCACTGACAGTGCAACCAACAGGACACCAGCCAGCCCCACGGCACCCTGGGACTTGGAGCAGTCCCAGCGCAGCATGGTTAAGCAGGCATAGGCAAGCTGCAAGCAGAACAATTGGGGGGAGGGGGGAGGAATGAAGGGGAAGTGGAGGAGAAGGGGAAGGGGGGGTGGGACACAAAACAAAAGCCAAACATTAGAATGTGTAATGATTCTAATGTTTCCCCCCCATTACCCCACATCAAAAGGTAGAACTTATGAAATCCAACAACAACAAAACTTTACATTAAGGACATCACACAAAATGATACGAGTCAGATGGGCGAACCGCAAATGGGGAAAACCACTTCATATGACCACTTTTTAAACCGTTATGAAGCCGAGCTCTCTCTGTCTTGGGTGCACGTGTATGTTAAAAGCGGTTAAAAAAGCAGGCGCGGTCATGGAAAGATTAAAAACTTAAAAAAAAAAAAAAAACCCAACCGCCCAGGAGAACAGACTTGATCATTACCATCAGTAAGTAGCCGCTGGCCACTCGGATGACACTGACGTCAGAGAAGGATTTTAGGATGTCATCCAGGGTCGTAGTGGTGAAGGAAAGCACCTTCTGAGTGGAGTTCTGTGCAACGCTTTGATGAACCACCTGTGGTCACAACATAAGGCTAAATTCCCAAATGGAATTAAAGCTTCCACAAGCTTCAACAGCACAGACCTCAGGTAACACATCCCACCCCTACTTTGTTTCTGATGCATTAAAAAAAAAGTTCTACACGATTCAGGTGAAGGGAAGGGAGCAGACCTTGGACAAACATTAAACGACTCTGGGTTAGGGCAATGAGACTGGGTGCTGTCGTGAGCCAGTGTAACTGGAGTTCCCTCCCGGTGCTGTATTTACTCCAAGTCCAAGACTGCTGTTTGCTTCTCCATAACTCCACAACTGACTTGCGGTCCCATCAGTCCCCCTCTAATCCAAAACAACTCATTCTTGCAGGCACTCTCCTCCCCCACCCCATTCATTTGCTGGCCACTTTTAAAAGGTCACATGCAACTCAGCAGAGGTCACTGCTTGGGAAACAAAGGCCAGCTCCTGTCACATGACCTGACCAAGGGGGCTGCAGCTGTGAACAGATTCTATGCCTTGCTAATGTTTTCCAGACACCTTTGCTCACTAACCAAGTGTTTTCTTAAACACTGTTATGCCTCAGCTCTGGGGTTCACAATTGGTTCCTAAACATGTTTCAGGGCATCCCAATTAGAACCAGTGTCTCTTAGATATTATCCTAGGATTTTCAATATCAAGGAAAGGGAAAACATTTTCATTCCATCAAGTTCCCAGAATTGCAATCTGTTTTGAAAATAAATCTAATGGAAAAAATGTTTTAAATAATGATGAACATGAAGAACTGAGCAACCAGCGAGCTCGCACCCAGGTTCCAAGGTGGGCTTACCTCCACATATGTCCTCTGCCAAGCCTCCAGGATGGCTGCTGCCTTGTCCTCGTTCCAGTTGATGTGTGAGACATACTCGTACCCCTTGAAGTGCTCGTACATTTGCTTGGGGGTCATCAACTGGAACATGGTCTGCAGGGCGTGGGCGCTGTGGTGGGGTTGAGGGGGTGGGTGGGAAGGCGCAACATCAACATTACCAGGAAGCAGTTTTCACTGTGTAAAAAATGCCAAAGGAGCACCCCTAACTCTCTCACAGCAATTCTCTCCTCTGTGAGCACATGTTTCCATTAAAAGGAGACCAGGATGGTTATTTTATTTAATAGATTGATGTACCATATTAAAGGTGTAACCTTACAACCTTTTACAGATATACCCCAAAATTAAATTAATAGGCAATTTCCTTTCTCAGTTTCTATTCCATGGGACAGGAAGGGTAGAAGGGTAGATAGCTTGACCAGATACAGTGTGCTCAGTAGTGCACACTCGCTGTGCAGAAATCTCAGACGTTGGCTTTCCCGAGGGAGAAATCTCAGATGAAACGCCTGACACTCAACTGACCAGAGCCCGTAAGTGCACAAAGGATAATTCTTGTTAGCCTTTAGTTCTTAGTCTCTTCCTTCCACAGTATGTGACAATGTTCAGCTCACATCATCTACATCTATACACTATGACCAGTGTCCCTGCCAACTTCACTCTTCCTCCGTATAATGGGGCAGGATCTCCTAAAACCTTCAACTCAATAATTACTAGTCTTGATGAAAATGACAAATCCATTGTTGAAAAGTTCCCCTTAAGGTGCTTTTTCAAGCTGGTCTGGTCTGCTAGTATTTCCTAATATTCGATTACACCGGTCGGCTAACTAGGATAACAGCTTAAGTACTAATACAAATACACTTGCAGATGCCAGAAGGGAAGTGGTTTTCCAGGAAAGGAGGGAAAACAGACGGCTAGGAATGTTCTGCGTCAGCTTACCTGACCAGCTTTCCCGTGCCGTTCTTGACTGTGCCACCCACAATCAGTTCCTCCTGCCAGTGCATATACTTCCTAGATAATCCATGACATCCACCATTCAAAACAAGGGCCATATCAAGAGGCTAAAATAAAAAGACAGGCACATAATTACGGGAATTAGTAGGCAGGTCACATGCCTTGTTAAAATCCAGTGCATTAAGGGCTTGTTTGCTTCAGAGTGAACATTAATAACACAGCTAATGAGAGGCGGATGGCAAATCTCACAGCAAAATTTAGCTCTATAAACAAACTTAATTCTATAGACAAAAAAGGATGTGGAGAATGAAATCTTAAAAATGAAAATAATAAAGAGAACTATGAATGGAAGCAAAAAAACAAAAAACTACACACACAAAGAAGAGAACATTCTCTGTGCCCCTTCCCCACCCATCACTGTACTCACTTTGGTTGAATTTTTGTTGGGGGCTGTGACGGGGCAGTCTGGATCGGCTGGGTTGAGGCAGGGACGGTCCATGTAACCATGACCAACTTCAGCCTTATTCAGCATTTCCTCCCAGCTGTCCACTTGATAGTGTATTTTCTTTAACTCTTCTAGGAATTCCAAAGGGTCAAAGTTTGTCCACCGCAAAGGAGGTTTACCTCTGCGAAAGAAATCAGGACATGAGACCATGAAAAGAGGCTTCCAAACTCACAGTAAAGTAACAAGACTGCATGTATTCCTTCTGTATCACAAAAGGCTTTTGGTAATGCCACAATTCTGGGACTCTGGCTTAAAAAAAAATAAATGAATGCTCCTTTCTAGCATATCTATCTGTATGCAAACTTAAGTCAGGGAAATAATTTATAACTGAAGACGGTAAGCAGAGGGCGCAAACATTAATGAAGGTATCAGAGACTCTTTCATTGCCAATATTGTCTATTTAACATATGGAAACAAAATTAGCCAATGGGTCCCAGGCAGAAGACTGAGATTAAAAAAGAAAAAGTGGAATCACAATGTCAAATTAGCACTTGCCAGGCTAATAAATGCTTTGTAAATGTCATCAATCAAAATATTTGATCTCTGCTGCCATTAACAATCCCATACTTATGAGTTCTCTCTGACAGCCTGGCAATGGAGTGGGCAAGCCCCCTGTGGCCTCTGCCATCACCGCCATCACAGCCACTTCCCCCCCCCACTCACTTTTGAATTTGCGCTGTTGACAGACCAGAAAGGCTTTTGGCTGCCTGTTATGTGGTTCAAACCACACTGTAGCTGCTTAACCAGGCTGAAGTCATTATTCAGAATCTTCCAACCAGAAAACACAAAACCCCTTATTTCCCATCTAAAACCGTACAGTGAAGGTCAAGGGATGGCTACTGCAAATTGCTTTTGCAGATATGTACAAGCCAGGACGGAAACAATAACCCAAGCATTAACTCTTGCATGATTAACTGAAAATGTCTATGCTGATTAACAATTATTCTTTCAATGCTGCGGTATATGTAATATCTAACTGCTAAACTGTGAAGCATCCCATATCAGGGCCTTCAGAGATAGAGGATTTCCCCCTTAAGTGCCATTAATGTGATCCAAAGAAAGGTTACCATTTTGCTTCACAAGAAAATCCTGAACTTTAACTCAAAATATTTAGTTCTGACATGCACCCACTAGTAAATTCTCTCCTTAAAAAAAATAAGTTAAAAGTGTAAGTGCCTAGTCTGCAAAACTACAAACATTTTAAAGAGTTAAAAATCACACAAACTCTACTATAATTTGCATTTTATTTGCATATAAATAGGTTGGTAAAAGTGAATGAAATTTAATGATGCCTACAGAACTTTTTTTTTGAAAAGAGGAAAAACATTCTGCTGAAATCCCCTCTCCCCCCCATTATTCACTCAAAAAATGCACATGGAATTTCAATGTTTTTTATTTCTTGTTCACAACTGAAATAGAATAAACAATGATAAGCAACATCAGAAACACTGAGTCCTAGAGTTTAAAAATCACAGATGTCAGAAAATATGATCACACACTTACAGGAGGTATGCTGTCCCAGACTGTAACTTCGCCCCTTCCCAGAAGCAGTCCAAAGGTGTAATAATTAAACAAGGGTAAAGATATTCTATTATCTGTCAAAGTTTAAAAAAAAAAAAAGGCCAAGCATTAGGCTAACATATACCACTGGGGTGTTTGAAATATTTTTGCAAACAAGAAAATATACCTGATCCATGTAACCCGTTTCTGTGATAAGTTCTCCTGATTTGTAACACAAATGTTCCAATTTCCACTGCCTATTAAAATGAAAAGTAGAGATGACAATTTCTCATTGTAATAAAGTAAGGAAATTAGTGCAAAATCAGAACCATAGAACATATAAAAAGAACCGCAATTTCGATCACTTTTAAGCATCTGTCAAAACGAGCAGGGCTTTTGCCAAGTAGAGACCCAGCAAGCTTGCTTTAATGAATAGATAATACTCAATCGTAATTAACATGTGGGGTGTTTATGTAAATGAATGCTACCAAAGTACTTGAAAAGTCTTGTTTTCTTAAGTGTTCTCCCAATAATCTTGTTTACACCATTAATCTGCTTTTCTACATACATTAAACAACTTCAGGGCAGCCCAGTTGAATTATCACAAATTCAAAATAGGTTGGGACTAAATTAGTGAGGTTTGTAATGTATTGATATATATTCAGGTAGGGAGATATTACTGACTATTTTATTGGCAGATCATATTCTTATTAATAGGTACTGTTCAAAATGAACTTTCCTACTCAACTACGAAAGTTATAAACAACATTTGGCGGGTAGGTTGAATTCCCACTTCACAGTCTCTTTATTCCTATGTCTTATAGAAATGATATTAAATACATGGATCAAGAATTAATTTGGAGTTTTATTATCTCTAGAAGAGTGTCATGTAAGCCCATGCCTTTCTAAGTGTGTTAGGGAGATAAATCTAACTTAAAAAAAGAGGAAATTTAGAAGGGATAGAAATGAAAAATCCAGAAGGAAAAATATAAAAAATACCACCACCACTACCCCACCCCCCACCCCTCCCGCCAAACTGCCCTATTTTATTAGTATCCTAAGGGAGGCCTGTCTTCACCCAAAGGAGCTTTCTGGACTTTGCCCTCTCCCCTGTGCCTCCTCCTAGAACCTTCCTATCTGTCTCTAAGCACCCTGTTGAAATGTCACCTTCCTGCTAAGCTCTGTCAAAAATGACCCTTTTGTCCTGAACTCCAGAGCACTGGCTGGTCAGCTCTATTGATACCTGGAGCACCTGCAGTGGGGACTGCCTGCATTTGGCTTTGTGCATGCCCATCTGTACTGATTCCTCCCCCTGACAGCAGGGCCTAAGTTACCCATCCATCCACTGCTCCATCCCTCCTCCCATCCATGCACATATTTATATTTTAATTTCACATTGCATCAACATAGAATACCTAGCATGAGTAGGTTTTCAATTAATATCACTTGATCGACTAACTCTTTTTTTTTTTTTTGAGACAGAGTCTCACTTTGTTGCCCAGGCTAGAGTGAGTGCCGTGGCATCAGCCTAGCTCACAGCAACCTCAAACTCCTGGGCTCAAGCGATCCTACTGCCTCAGCCTCCCGAGTAGCTGGGACTACAGGCATGCGCCACCATGCCCGGCTAATTTTTTGTATATATATCTTAGTTAGCTAATTAATTTCTTTCTATTTATAGTAGAGACGGGGTCTCGCTCTTGCTCAGGCTGGTTTTGAACTCCTGACCTTGAGCAATCCTCCCGCCTCGGCCTCCCAGAATGCTAGGATTACAAGCGTGAGCCACCGCGCCCAGCCTGATCGACTAACTCTTATTTATGCTTGCTTAAGAAAGACATGGTTGTGTATTAGAAAAACTACTAGACTGGAGCCAGAAAAAGGGTTTGAAACCTGTCTCTTTCACTTATTAACTGTACAAACCTGGACAAATGCTCTAATTAGTCTTATTCCAGTTTTCTCACCTAAAATATGGAATGGGTTGAACTACATGTTCTTCAAGTTCATTCCAATGCATAAAATGTCTCTGGGTCCATCTCGGCTTGAGAATAGTGTAATTTCACTGTGCAGACCCTCACATCTTTTCCTGCAGCGTTCAGGTAGCAAGCCCCCTCAGAAGAAGGGCTCACTACTACATTAAGAACATGCATGCCTACAGTGGCCCCAGGACATGCATTTCCAGGCTCCTCACAGGGACACCACTTGCAAATTCTGCCAAACTGCACTGGGTCGGTCCCTGCTTCCCTCCAATGCTCTCTGCACACCGGCAGGGCAATATACCAACAAACTGACCGCCAACCCTGTTCTAAATGCAGGGGTACTACAATGGACGTGCGGTGGTCCCTCAAATAACTGATTGTTTAGATGCATAAGAAAAAAGATTTACGTTTTGTTCCAGAACTTTCCCTAATCTTTTACTCTACTCACAGCATTGTTAACTTAGCTATATGATGCTAAAAGGGGACTTTTTCAAAAGGTGTGTGTGGATCTACCCTATTCCATCTGTCAGCAGCAAGAATTCCCCGAATGGCTCAACCCCTTATTTGCTTTGTGACACATAACAACTGTGAATATAAAGTATTGACAGGCAGCTTCTTTTTTCTTGTACTGTAAGTTGACTAAAGGCAATTCAAAATGTAACTGCTCCAAAAATATCTCAAGCAACAAAGATAACTCCAGTATTAACAAAATATTCAATTTGGAAAAAAAATATCTCAAGCAATGAAACATGTTAGTGGATCAGGATCTTACTCATTTGGGGATAGTGCCAAGATACTTACTGAAAATACAATATAAAGTAATGCACTTGCTTCATTACTAAACTCTAGAAACAAATCAAGGTGAAAATTTTTTTTCATTAGAAAACTATTTGAACTAACACTCCAGGTGCATTTCCAGGGAAAGTTTATTTACTAAAATAAAGGGGCTTAAACCAACAGGCTCTTCCCATCACCTTACCTGCTACACATGCACAGGTGGACTCAGTCGTCTTACCTGTTGTACATGTACACATGCACTCGGCTGGCCTGGAGCGCCGAGTCCAGGTGTTGTAGGAGTGCTTCTGTGGTCAAGACGTTAGCACCTTCTTCTTTCGGGGTCTGTATCATGAGTTGAGGATTAAACATAGCCTCTTCTCCAATCTTCTGGCGAGTATAATTTAATTCACGACTTACTCGTCCACCAACTGGCAAACATGTACAGGTTTCCATTAGAAGAGCACAATCCCTGCAAATCCATGTTCTATCTGAGATCGCTAACAGAGGACATACAATAAATGATCTCTGGTCCTGAAACTGGCTGATGTTTGAGGAGTAACGTTTACTTTATTTATTTTTTCTTTTTTTTTAAGACTTTGAATACATTTTTTTAAGACTTTGAATACATTTTATACATCTTATTTAATATTGCTTCTTCACTTATTTTATTATTTTTTTATATTTTTCTCAATGAAAGTTCAGAGCAAACATTCACTTAATTATTAACAGCACCGTTAACTTTACCAATAATAAACATAAAAAATACTCACTAAGCCCATTAACGGCTGTCCTGCCTGTCATATCCGCAAACCTAATGGACACATGCTTTGTGTGCATTCTAATAAGCCATGTGCATAAAGGGGAGAGGGGGAAGGAAAATTTGAGACACCTTTTCCTTGCAAACCAGACCAAATAACCCTGTTACAATTTCTTTCACTTGTATAAACAATGTGCCCCTGCAGCACATTTCAAGATAAATGGCTTCAATTTACACTCTTCTCCTAAGTAATCTGGCAAAGGTAACAAGGAAATGTTTCTCCTCTGTGGAAAAAGAAACAAGGAAAGGTGGCAAGTGTGTGTTCAGCACAAAACTTGCCAGAAGATAAATAATGTGATTCAAGTCAGATGCACATGGGGAAACCTTTGTTCCTGGAGAGGAACAAAATGAGAACAAAAAATCGTGGACAGACCTGGAACCTGGTTCTATCACACTCACCTGGTCAGCATCCATAAAACACAGGTGCCAGGTTCTGAGCCACAAGGGGGAGGGGGGGAATAGCCTCTGTTCTGGAGGCTCCCCAGGTGATCCGGAACCTGCTGCTGAGGCTGAGAAGTCCTGCCCCAGCACCAACCCGGCTCTCCAGCAGGCTGGCCAAAGCCAGGGATGCTTGAAGCCAGCGCAACAAAGCACAGGTGACCAAACAAAACCACCCACCCGGTTCCTGCCAACTACTTTTTTCCTTTCCTCTCCTTTTTACACCCTCAGGTCCAAGGTTATGTTCAATTATGGTTTTGGACCAAGGCGCGCTCAGAATGCTGCACCTGTGCTGGGAGGTATCTTAGGAAGATAATTAGAGAACAGGATTGTAGAGCCCTCCCCCGCCAGACACTCCAGGGCAAAGGAACTGAATCTAAATTGTTCCTAAAGTCACTGATAAGTTGAATGTTTACTAAAAAGCGGGCCTCCAACTTCAGTTTAGAAAAAACTCAGTGATCATAGCTTTCCCACGAGGAGGAATCCTTTTTCTTCAAGTTTAGTATTCAAGGACATAAACATTTGGTTTGGACAAGTAAATAAGGACTGGGAACAGCGGGTTGTTTAGTTCTCTTGGCATATTTTATAAACAAGGGGCAGGCTAAAAAGCAAATAATGCCCTCATTAGGAAAACTAGTGCAGATTCACGGCCTGGCAGGACCCTCTGTGCAGGTTCACGCAGATGCCAAGGCCAGGATGTGTGAGGGGAGGCTCAGAGTGCTGTGGGGGGTAGGGAGGAGGAATGTATCCGTTAGTTGGTTAATTAAAAGTGTTAATAAAAACACTCCTGTGTGCAGAAAACTTTGAAAACTGCTGAGGACCCTGCAATCAATTTAAAGTTTAAGGAAAACTACAGAAAAATATCAGCAAACAACTTGCACAGAGGAAGCACTGACCTAATGCTGTGGCCTTTCCTGGACGCCCTACTAAAGCTACCTGAAGGCAGGTTGTGCCCGTTCTAGCTGGCATCACACTGCATTACACAATGCAGATGGTCAACCAATTAACTAATGAACTAAATTGGACTCAATCCACATCTTTTAAAGATGGAGAAGCTGTTTGAGCTAAAAAGCCAATTATTAGTCCAGAGGCCAGTTCTGAAAAGCTACAGGAGCTGCATACCAAGGAGCTCAAGGCTGTCTTTGCTCAACCCCCTTTTTTTTGGAAATACCGCACTTCATGTCCCAAACCTAGAGATCATTTCTATTTCCAAGTGACTCCTTGAACACTGGCATAAGCATGTGATTTTTCATTCTGCTTACAAAATTACACTTCCTTGCACCTTGATGGACATTTACAACTTCAGGTGACTTAAAATCATGAAGTAATAACAAACAACAAAGCACAATCCCCCCCTGCCTCCAACTTTTGCTACAGTGATCTAGGTGCTGTTACAATGAGAAACAGTCCAGCACAGGCAGCCTTAGCTTGGCAGGATTCTACCCATCTAGGCCTTAAGGGCAGCTGCTTGTAACTATATAACTCAAGGTGCAACAACTCAAGAAGTGAGTGCACACAAAAATAAAACCAAACGCAAGGTCATGCCTCACCCTTCTAGAACAACCTCATAATGGATCAAATACTTTATCACAGGGTTTTTAGAAATGATGCTTTTTCCTACAAGATAAAAAATGTACCTCAGGGGTTCTAAAATGTCACCTTTTTAGATGTTTTAAGATGTATATTTAAATAAACACACATTTTACTAAAGGTGTATCTTTGTGGTGTCTCTGAAATTAGAAAACTTTTCGCTCTTCCATCCCTTTGCTCTAGTGATAAATACAAATATTTTGCCAATGAGACAACCAGTTTAAGCCAAGACTATCATCATAAGTTGACCAAACAACTAGAGACCCTGAATTCTAAAAATTTCCCAACGACCTATGCTATTACATACTGTTAAATGTTCAATTTCTTTTTATATATCTTATAGCCATATTTTACCTAACATTTTTATCTTATATTTCACTAAATATGAATGTTTTTGTAAAATGATTCAATAACTTTAATAAAGTTCGGGTGCTATCCATTCTATTTGACCAATAGTTATAGCGTGATTCATTTGTCCAACAAGCATCTGTGGATGTGCACCATGTGCTAGGCAGCGGGGATGCTATAAGGGACAAGGCCAGTGCTGTCTCTCTCCAAGAGGCTTGCTGGCCAGTGAAGCCAACAGGCAATGGACAAGGCAAACCACTAAGACAATTTCCTAGCATGACAAGTACAATGGAGGAAATAAAAGTGGTGATGCCATGTTTGGGTGGAGGGGAAGGGCAAGGCTACTTCAAATAGGACGGCCAGGAAAGACCTAAAGGCAAGTAATACTTAAGGTGACTCTGAAGAGCTGGGGGAACAGTGCTCTGGGCAGAGGAAACAAGTGCAACACCCTTAGGTTTGGCTTGTTGCAGGGAGAGAAAGGAGACCTACATCTATGGCTGGAGCCTAATAAGACCCTAATTATGTCATTCACTTGCTTGCACTGGTAGACTTAGCTCCTTCTCAGGTATAACCATGTCATAAACTACACGACATTCATATGTTCTTACATCAATATTTACCAAGGCACTCTGGACCAAGCTGCCAAAAACAGAAACTCCTCTAGACAGAGCAAGTCGCCTGACCTTCGCTACTCTAGCAAACGCCTGTCCTAAATTATTGCTGAATGACAGCCCAAGGCTGTGCATTACCTAGTTGTCTTCCTTATTATCCATGAGTGTAAGCTCTGAGCTCAGGAAGTCCCACAGAACCTATTTCAGATGACTGAGAGTACAGTCGGGGTCTGGGAGAAAATGAAAATGGAAAAGAGCAGGGAGAAACCAAGGTCAAAGTCCTTCTAATATATATTTAAAATATATTGTTTATGAAATACTACAAAATAAAATAATGATTGAACACAATAACCATAAAATCCAGTATCTGTTATGTAGATGTAGGTATAGAGAACCATGTTAATAGTCATGATTGCTGTGCTGTGTCTATGGATAATAGTTACCTGCTTTAAACCAAGCCCAGAACAAAATACAACATGCATCTCTCCTCTCACTTACATGTGGGCAGGTTCTCTAGAGGTAGAGAGTAGAAGGAGAGTTACCAGAGGCTGAGAAGGGGGAAAGGAGGGGGAAAATGAAGAGAAGTTGGTCAGTGAGTACAAAACTACAGGTGGGTAGAAGAAATAAGTTCTAGGGTTCACTAGCACAGTACGGTGACTATAGTTGTCAATAATTTGTTGTACATTTCAAAATAGCTATAAGATTTGGAATATTCTCAACACAAAGAAACTATAAATGTTTATGACAGCCCAATTAACTTTGATTTGATCACCACACATTGTATGCCTATGCATGTATCAAATATCACATGCACACCATAAATACAAACAGTATGTATCAATAACGTTAAAAACCTGCAAAAAAATAATATGCATTCTCCATCATATCCTGAAATCCCTTTGTATTCTACTCTCTCTTCATCCTTGAAATACAACAATAATAACAATAAAATAACCGCCAACCCCTTTGAACAAAACTCAGGAAAAAGCATTGTCTCAGGATCCTGAGCCACAGAATAACCTTTTATACTTGTGTAGTGCTTTCCGCTTACAAAGCACTTTAACACTCCTTATTTACTTATTTAGAAATATTTTGATCTTTGTTGCTCCTCCATCAAGTTGGGCCGGCTGCACTGGACAGGCAATGAGAATGGGCATCAGAGGACCCCAGCAGTGCCACTTGTGGCAGGGAGATTTGGGATAAGTCACTAACATAGTTGAGTCTCAGAAGCCTATTCTGCAAAGCAGGGATAGATTGACAGTGCATGGAAAACTTCCCAAATCCTTGCCTAGGAGCTCAAAGAGGTGTCCATTCATCTATTCATTTGTCACGGAGCACATGTCTACAGAGTTTGCATGACTGGCCCAAGGTCACCCAGCTGATAAGAGGTAGAACTGACCCTTTAACCATAAGTCCAACTGCCGTGTGAGCTTCACGGCTTCTGAGAACCAGCTGAGAACTCAAGTACAGCAGCAAGAAATGGCTGAGGAGTGCCAAATTCCATATACCAGACTCTACAGGTCAAGTATCCCTAATCCAAAAATCTGAAATAGTTCCAAAATCTGAAACTTTAAGTGCCAACATGATGCCACAAGTGGAAAACTCCACACATGACCTCACGTGA